AAAAAAAAAAAAAAAAAAAAAAAAAAAAAAAAACGATTATGATCAACCGAACAGGAAGCCCTGTCGGGGAAGAGCGTAAAGAGCCGTCAAGGCGGGATTGACAGGGTATAGGTGCGATCCGTCTGCAAAGAAGACGAGACCGACTGCAACAAGAAGGAAACAACTCCCAAACGAGCAAAAGTAAATGACAAAAACAGGGGGTATCTTTGGTATCTTTCGAAATTCTTCAGTTCACAAAATATGTCGTCGAAACAAGCGGTATATACCGTAATGCGAAAGACGAAACCGGTTGGAAGGTTGTCGCTAAGACCAATCACGCGCGTTTCAGAGGGCTAAAGCGAGGAGAGCCATCCAAGGCAGTTGCCAGGAATGATCAATCACGCGAATAGAAGCGGATAGAGTAGAGATATAGACAGGAAGGACGAGGACTCGGGGGGCCAAAGCCTACGCACCGTTTGGCGCCGGCCGTGAGACAGGACACCAAAAACCGGCTGTGGCGGCCAAAAGAAAGGGAAAAGGCGATCGATATCGAGGCAGAGTTGCGACCAAACCCTGTGACGAGGCAAAAAAGAGAAGAAGGGAAAGAAGAGAGAGGAAAAGGGAAAAGAAAAAAAGAAAAAAAGGGAACAGGAAAAACGAGGAACCGCCAGGAATAAATGGCAGGCTTATTGGGAGGGGGAAACGGAACCGCCGTGTGGGCTTACCGTATTATAACAATACGGCACGGCAAGGGTGTTGCGTGGTTGGCTTATATGGGTGTCCGGAGTTGTACGTATGGTCAGAATGGAATGCATAGGGCAGAGTACAGGCAGAGAACTCTGTACTGCACACAGCAGGGAGGAAGTGTTTTAAGTCAATTGTGAAGGTATTCAAAGGAGGCTGTATGGAGTACTCTATTTTTTCTATTCTTTTTCTTTACCTGATGGAATGTCATCTGAGTCAGCTGAGGAAGAGGCTTGTACGGCTGTGGTACAGACCATTACAGTCCAGTGGTCTGACCACAGCCACAGCCCGATATATACGCGGTATATGAGATTCTGTGATGCCGATGAGAGACAAGAATCTCGATCTGGGGAGAGCTCAGCTTTCCAGTTTTTACAGGTTTGGTATACATATCCTGTACCCTGTGCTAGAGTAATAGTAGTACCGAGTACTGTACAAATATGCACCTCTATCTGGAGTCTCCGTCTCCGTACTCCGTATCTTGCTTCGCCCTATGAATCCTGTTACGAAACTCTGGGGCCGCGGGCAGATTACCACTTTAGATTAGAATTTAATGGGAGATACTCCATCAGTACAAGTAAAGCTCCGTACTCTGTACATGTACACAGAGTGCGAGTGCTCAAAATGGTCGACTCACTCACATGAATACATACTCGGATAGTGTACCTTGCCCGACCACGGTCCCTGGTCTCGCTAACCTTCTAGAAATCGTTTCCGTGTTCCATGCAAGCCATAAGAACTCGTCCTTTCAACGCACAATCAAATTTTTTTCTTTGTATGTAGCATTAGCGTTACATGGTTCTTTATCCTTATGGTTGGTCATGATAGCGGTTGGTGTTAGGTAAAATTTGTACGGAGTATTTTACCGAGACGCACAAGGAGAAAAAGAAAAAAGCAAAGTGTTACTTACAAAGTAAACCTTGCTTGAATGATTCTATGTTATGACTGTATCAATTCTCCTTTATTCTCGCCAATTCTATTCCCAGTTTTCCCTCTCTATCATAAAATCATTGTTATCAAGCATTCTCCAAACCAGTTCTCTATTCTGTATTGAATACTGCACAATGTCGTCACCGACTGCTTCCCTTGGGGGCGGCTGCAGCGGCGCCTGCGCTAACCCCGCTACGGACTAGCACAGTAATGTGGGAGGGGCAGAAAGTCGATCTCGGTGGAGGCGGTCAGCGGTCCCCACCGGCCAATCAAACGGTGGATGGGTGAAACCGGGAAAGTGACCCACTATGCGAACGGACTCTAGCGGTTAGCGCTAATTAGAGTTTGTCCAGGTGGGTTTGGAAAGTAAGAGAGAGACATTCATATTTTCAAGACGGTCGGTTATAAACGGGGGCTGATGCTGTGTGACTAACTGATTGAGTAATAACTACGTTGACCAAGAATTTGTTGACAGGATGGCCCTGTATTTGTTCTGTATGCTGTCGTATCTTGAATTTGACGGGACTGACTGATTCTGGGGATAAGAATACGTAGGTTCCCGTGGTGGGGCCACTAGCTAAACTTGGGGTTAGGGCATAAGTATCCGTATGGAGTACGGAGCACGAGGCTTTCGTAGGGTCGGTTTGAAATAGATGTAGCTAGCGGTACCTCACCGGGGCTAAGCCGTAATAGTAGAATAGTACAGAATATCCAAAAACAGCAGTAAGCTATCTACCGAGTACTCTACGGGGTACATTAGATGCTCAACTGCTTGGTGTCATTCCGCTCAGGTGACAGCTGCCTGAAGACAATTCCATCAGGTCACAAGATACACTGCTATTGGAAGCCCTAATACCCTGTACGTACTCCGTACATTGCCACAATACTTACTCGTACGAGTACTTGCACATTGACCTACTTTCACTTCAAACCCCGAAAACTCTTCCAGCCACTCTTAGAGCATACAATAATAGCCATCGTAGGGCACAATATCAAATTCCAACAGCACTAACTCCAAACAGCATAGCCTGAAAATTAAGTTAGCAGTGCCACAGTCTGTATATTAATCTCCATTGGCAGATTGGAGAGTTCTTTAGTCAAACTGTATGCACAGTGGTGTACGTGCAGTAGTAGTTGTTTCACCGGCGTTGTTGGGTTGTTATTGGCGGGTAAAATGGCCTATTAAGAAGCCCCGAGATCTTTCACCAGCATACTTTGCTCCATAACACTCCGAGATAAACGTCTGTCGCATACAACTTGCCAATCTTCATATAACTTCGCGATAATGGGTCGAATCAACATAACTCGCTGTGCACGCCATACGAGTACTCCTATAAAAGAATCTGTTATTGGCCAAACAACCACCAATTAGGTTAATCTATCCCAACCCGTCACGGCCAGACCCGCTTCTTGGCGAGTGCACTTGACCCGAAACGGAAACACTTCTCGGACAGGAAAAAGTGGCTAGCGGACCGCCCCCGCTGTGGAGTGCCAGAGGCTCTTAGTCCCGGTGGCTATCCGTTATCAGGAGTCATCGCTTCGGCTTGCGGATACCCCGGTCTGTCCGGCCCGGTGCGGTACGAGTCAACACGGGAAGCACTTGAATCGGTTTGTTGGTTGTGATTCTACGATTAGATTTTGACCGTTTGCCGTACGGAGTGTAGAGTACGGCGTTCTAGTCATGCAATATAATGGCAGGTGCCTAGTCCCTGGTAACCACACGTCGGAATTGATGAAACATTGCAGGATCAATCTAGCCTTGGCTTGATTAATCTGCACACCGTGAGCACGAGTATTCTCACCGTGGCTGATGTCAGTACGTCCATCGCAATGGCCGTGCGCCTCTCATTTGACGACAGTATGGCCGACGGTCTCTGTAAAAACCTTCCATTTGGAGTATGAGTGAAGTTCTGGTCATGGCTGGTAAGGTGGATACGGGGATATGGCAGCATTTCCCTGAGAAGGCAGTTGGTCCAGAAGAGCCCTCGGATGCATGAAATGAGTCAGTTATTTGGAATCAATCTCTGCTCACACCGCGTATAATATTATGAGGTCTGTAGATCTGAGTTGGACTTTGGAATACCATTGGTACCTGATTCCGCCGCAGCAATGTTGGCAACTCAGCGTAGCTTCAGATATGGCATCCAAAGCAAGGGAAAAATAAAGAAAAAGAGAAGAAAAAGAAAAATTTTTAGTACTGCTCAAAAAATGGTTAATATCTCTCGCATCGAAAATATCAGCACCGTTGGTTGGTGATGCCACCGGGCCTGGGATCATCGCGACGGCTTCATTCGTGTCCCAAAAGGGAAATCCGTGATATCACAGCATCATACAACTTCAGCGATAAAACTGGATAGAAACCAGTAAAGCGAAAGATATTATCATCTCAATGCCAAGGTTCCCTGTTATTGTCAGTAACAATCCACAACAAGCATCTGCCCTCCTCATCGTCAGGCTTCATCCGTATGCACGGCGAGACCACACCAGCCGGAGTTCTCTTAGAATCCGGATTCTCAGACCTGCCACTCCGGACCATCTATCCTCCTACACTCCGTCTCGTTATCGAAATTCATCTCTTCTCTCCGCCGAACGACTCGAGTTCTGGGCCGGTGGGAAATAGTATTAATCCGTCGTCGCTGGACGCAGAAACAAAAAGCCGGACCGCCGCGTCGGCGCGATCATCACTAAGTAGGAAACTTTTATATCATCCGAGTCTCTATCACCAGCTGTATATTCTCACGGCCATTTTTGCATTTTGTTGCGCGATCATGGTCGTCGTTTCCTACTCTCTGCGCCGAGGGCTTTTGGCGCTAGCCCCTTCACAATGCTCCCCGCCCAGGCAAATTTAGTCTGTAAAACCTTGCCTTGCGCGTCTTCGCTTCTTCCACCTTTTCTTCCTCCACCACCACCGCTATCAATACCCACAAACCATCACTTATCCATCCGGAGTTTTATTTTATGCTTAACGCTCCTTCGCTTGGATTTTTTCCGTCATGTCTCGTTTCGAATCTGACGCAATGAATTCCCGCGAGCAGTCGGATATGCCTCCGGCGCCCTCGTATCCGTCCCCCAACGCGGCGCAAATGAGCCAAGGCGCCATGCAATACTACACCAACCGCCAGTTGACCACCGACGAGCTCTTGTCCGCTGAGCTCTCCCGCGAAACCTCGGGTCCTAGCCTGGCAGACGGGTCGAGTAATGGCGTTCATCACGGCCAGTCGATGGTTTTGGGGGCCTCCAACCCCGGTGGGCCGGAGATGGGTCGTCCATCGTCCCCGGATCAACATCAACAACAGCACATGTTGCAGTTCACTCCGGGTCAGCAGGTGGGCGCGGATCCGAATCACGATTTGAGCTATGGTGACCAGAGTGCGAGGAGAAAGAGATCGAAGATTTCGCGGGCGTGTGATGAGTGCCGGCGCAAAAAGGTACTTTGTTTTTGTGTGATTACTCGACGCGACGGGGGACTAGAAGCTGATCTTTTCATCTCTACTAGGTCCGTTGCGATGCTACCTCGGAATCCGGCGTCGAGACTTGCTCCAACTGTCGCAGACTCGGTGTTGTCTGCCAGTTCAGTCGCGTCCCGATGAAACGCGGTCCCAGCAAAGGGTAGAGTGAAAATTCCGCCAAGTGACAAGAACAATCTAACTGACGGGATTAAAGCTACATCAAGGAACTTGCGGAACGCCTACACACTCTGGAGAGTCAAATGCAGCCTGCCGCCATGGTGCACTCCGACATGCAGTACCAGGCCATGAACGAAGTGCCGTCCCCGAGACCTTACCAAGAGTTCTCCCCGCCAATGGACGCAGGTCCGATCAGTCGCAAGCGCACATATTCTGTCTTCGAAGGACTCCCAAGTTCGTTCTCGCAGCCGCAGTTCAACCCTCGTGGCTCGCAAAATGCATTTGGTACGTTTGTTGCACTGCCTACGTGGTCCTGCTCCCAACTAACTAAAATAGACACGACAGAAACCTCCACGGATCCTGTACTCGCTACCTCTGCGCCCAAGCCGGGTAACCTGTTCTGGCCGGTCAGTAATGAAGATGGCCTTCCCGCCGGCATGGACATTCCCGAAGTTTCGAAACACCCAGAGGAGGACATGACACCGCTGGACGTGGATGATGGTGCACTGAATGCGTACGTCTGTTTATTTGTGGTTTTGTCTTCAGGAACTAACAAGGTGCAGCTACCACGTCAACATTCATCCGGTTTTCCCGATTTTGCCGCACTCCAAGGAACGTCTGCTCGAGATCCTCCACCAATGCAGTCGCGAAATCCAAGAGGTATTCCTCTACAGTCTTTACACGGTGACACGCACCGACATGGGTCGTGTCGCTGGCGCTTTTGGAAAAGTGGCTTCATTCGACAATGCGCAGGACCTTCTTTTGTACTACACGCGGCAACCTGCACTGGTCCGTTCGACTGCGGTTAATTTGATATGGCTTCAGTCGATGCTACTTATGATCATGGACTGCGACTTCCGAGGACCCGACAACTTTGTGCTCAAGGACGGTGTTCCGAAGCATACACTTATCCAGTCTGCTATCAAACTTGGCTCTGATTTGGCAAAGGGTCTTGGCCAGTTGAAGAACAAGCGAGCTTCTGACCCTGACCATGATTCTGACGCCAACATTACCCGACGGGATTGGGTTTCGCTGATTATCCTCACTCGCTGGTATGCCATCAGTGTGGCTGATCCGAGTGTCCTTGGAAACCACGAAATTGGTGGTCGGGAAGATGAGCGGGTTGTTGGCTCAGTCACGACAGGTGTTGGCTGTATGTTTTACCCATTCTTTTGAGATGAGGAAACCTAGCTAACACAACGTCTAGCTTACTCTTCATTCTTGGTTGAAACGGTCACCCTGGCCACCTCTGACCACAACATCTGCCAAACCAACACCGGCGTAGGACGTTTGATCAGCGCAAACCTTGCAGCCTCTCTCGAGCGTCTCTCAGAGGTCCAAGACCTCCGCGGCTTCCACGTCCCCGAAGAGACCTCGTCCGACAGTTTCCTCGAGAGCCTCCAGAACCAGCTCTACTGGACAATCCGGCTGCTCATCAAGCGCCACATCTTCGTCTACAGCCCCTACGAGATCATCTACAGCGCGCAAGAGCTCACCAATGAACTCCACAAGGCAACCATGCAATCCCGCCTCTCCACCCCCTTCGACCTGCACAGTCTGGCCCTCGCCTCCATGACCCTCCTTGAGGCCACTGTCCTCCCCGAATACGCCAACGAATGCTGGGAGTCCCTCAACAAGGTCGAAGAAATCCTCGACCGCCGCACAAAACGCTACACCGGCGTCGAAGAATTCCAAGATGTCTTCGCCACCCCAGGCTGGGACAACAAGATCCGCATCTTCCTCGAATGGCGCCGCGCCAAGTCCCAGGAGTCTCAGCTCCAAGATCCCAACCTGACCAAGAACAACAGCCACAATGGTAACAACGGCGCCGCCGCCCCGCCTCCGGTCATGGGCCCCAACGAGCAGCGCTCGCTGCAGCACCTGGCTGACCTTGCCGTTGGCGCTGAGGGATCTGTCTCTGCGAATGCGAACGCGTCGTCTCCGCCACCGGCGCTACCGGAGAATAATTTCAATACGGCGGAGGCGCAGGCGCAGCAGGGGCGTATGATTGTTGATTTTACGTTGTTGACCAAGGAGGGGTATTTGAATGTGTTTTCGGGGTTGATTTATCGTCGACAGCGGTGATTTTTTTTTAGTTCCCTTGGGTTCTTGTCTCTGCTCTCTTCTCTTCTTTTCTATAAATGGATAAAAAGAACATGTCGTATATGCTTCATCAACTGAACTGCTTTTGGAATTTGGAAATGGATTTTTGATTCTCTTCTCCCAGTTTGTTCTTTTTATTTTTTTTTTTTATTTTTTTTTTATTTATTTATTTTTTTTTTTTTGTATCCTGTGCCATACGTTGTAATTGCCTCCTACCTTGAGGTCCTCTCCGCTCATGTTTCTTGATGGTGATACCGTGGCCAGCGGGTCATAATGGTGACAATGTATTAGACTCTTTCTCTCGCTTTCTATTGCTAAGTATACTACCGTACATAACTCAAGCTCTAACCCTATTCTCAACGTAAGGTATATAGATCACAGCCCATATAAAAACAAATATCAACAAATGGCATGAGTAGAAATCGTCAAAGTCATAAAGTCAAACGTAAATGGTCAAGTGTCACATCCGTCCAAATGCAAACCGCTGCCAAAGACCTTCCACGTCCTCAGCAAGAGAAATAAAATCGTCATTCTGGATTTGTGAGCAGATCCAATTCCCGAGTCTTGCTATACGTTCCGTCTTTGGGTCGGAGGTATATGAGGCGAGGTCTGCGATGGGGTCTGGGTGCCGTGGCTGTTGTGGTTGTAGTTGGAATTGCGGCTGCGGTTGTGGTTGTAGTTGAAGAGAAGGGTCCATGTTCATTGGTATAGCATTGCGGTGTTGTTGCTGCTGTAATTGGGGAGGCATGTTCATAGGTAGAGTGTTGCGAGATATATCCGTATGATTCTGTGGCCTCGAAGTGGTATTGTTATATGATGGTTCCTGCTGATAAAGAGTCGTAGTAGAAGAAGCGGGCTGGATTGGTATATGTATGGGTATATTTGTGTTTGCCTGCGTGTTCTGTTGAGATGGAGGAGGATGGTTGGAGGGCTCGCTGTTTATGTTCGGCTTTGAAAGCGAAGTAAAACTACGCTTTATTCCCCCTGCGTTGTTCGTGGCTTTTGCGGCTTTGAATGGCGTTGAATCGTAGTGATCTCGAATTGACGTTTGAGTTTTGTCAGGGCCTGTATTTCGAATTATCCATTAGAAAGGCAGCTCCTAATCATCAGGTAGTGGATCATACCAGACTCGTTCGGTCTAGATGCGTTGTTTGTCTGCTTCCCCGATGTACGCGGTTTCTTCGCAGCTGGCTTCATGAATGGCAGATCCCGCCTTGGAGGTAGAATCTCATCGAGCGATTGAGTGTCATGGCAGGCCGTGGGAGGACGAGAAGAGAACGCAGTGCTACTTGGCGCCGGTGCTTGGCTGTTGTTGGTCGGTACGAGGTCTGTAAGCGTGTGGATGGTACTCGACGAGGCGGGACGTAGAAAAGGCCCTATTAGTGCAACTCAACTGTTAGCGAAGTCACTCCATAGCTTGGAGCTGCTGGGGAGGTACCAGTAGTAGCTGATCTCGCAGATGGATCAATCGTCGGGGACGACTGGGATGGGAAGAACATATTGTTCAAAGTCGGTATACCCGGCGCACCTGGAACACTGGAGGGCATTTGTGGAGGAGCGGGCGCAGAATCAACTGACCCAGAGCGCCATTGTGAAGATGTAGGTTTGCGAACTGGTGGTAACGAGCCGACATTGGATTCCGAGAATGGACATTTGATGTTGCTCAGGATGACCAGGGTTGAATAGTAGTCGCGATCGGACGAGAACTTAATCTGGAATCGACGAATCTGCGACGTGGAATGTTAGAGTTGGAAGGTAGAGTTTTTAGGAGATGGAAAGTAAGAACGCACACATATACTGTCCTTTGGATATTTCACAGCAAGACAGGGCAGCTTCACGATCACAGCGAAAACCGGCTTCACCTGACCACTCTGTCCGGACAAGGCAAACTTCGCGGCTTCTTGTGAGTGGTATGTAAGATCGACTTCTTCCTAGATTAGGGGACGTTTCAGCGTTAGTATCATCTCAGGTGCAAGGACCAGAGGCGCTCAGATACGATACCAATAACTCGTAGTCTCGAAACACCTTTAACAAAACCCGTGCTGGTGTGAGTCCAGATACAGCGTGGCTTTCAATTCTTCCGACTATATCGCCGTTTCCCATTATATGGCTCCAGTTCAGTGGGCCATTGTGTCCGATTGAGGTGGTTGTGTGGGAGAACTTCGCTAGAGGCAGGCAGGCAAGCTGGGTGGGCTCCGGGGGCTGCTGAGAAGGATGGTACATGATGAAATTATTGTTGTTGAGTCCAACTCAATGACATGATAGCATATACTCGCTTAGGTGATATATAAAGAAGTTTGAGTCGAAGGATGGATGGGTAAGATGAGGAGTGTTGGTGAAAGAGAGAAGACGAAGTTGGCTTAGGGTAGAGCATGTGACCACCATATATATTCGACCACCCAACACATAATATAACTTTTTTTTTTTTCTTTCCCCCTCATAATATACCATTCTTATGACTAAGTCAAGTCAATATGAATTCAAAACCATGCTTTGGATGAATAAACAGTGCACACAAGGAGAATTCTATATTTCTATCCTTCTACCATTCTATGTCTATCACAGTTGTAAATACAACGCCCCCCCAATTTTTATACAATCAGCAGAGAGCTGGACCGTATGAATACTCTTAGTTACTCGATGGGGTAGCAGAAGCAGCACTGCTGCTCTGAGGAAGTCCTCCATCGATGCCTCTCGGGTCACCGTCCGAAGTACCATCAACCGCAACTCCACCGTTGGCCGTCCAAACGTTGGTGTAGTAGGGGTAGTGGACAGCAGAGACGTTGACTGCCACAGTGATCCATGCAAAAAGACCGTCTTCCACATTGTCTCCCAAGTAAGCGTAGTTCAACATCGGGTCCGCGTCATTGCCTTCGGTCTCCTGCCCGACGACTCGATCCTTAGCATTGGCGGTGATGGGAATGCCGTTCGTGTTGTACGGGTAGGTCGACTCCACGGTGCTGATAATCTCCTGGTCCCAGAAGATTTGCGCGATATGCGGGATCGTTCCACCGGTAAGGGTGTTGTTCGGAAGTAGCGTAGCGTTGAAATGAGCGATGTTGTGGTAATGAGTGGTCCGGCTGTCGTAGTGGCCAGGGAATAAGGTGTCAAATGTGACGATACCATCCGCATCGGTCTTCTGAACACCTCGCAGGAAGGTACGCTGGCGATTCGCAAGGTCCGCGGCGTTTCCATTGCCCTCCGCAGCAAGGCCGGAATAGACACCAGTGGCGTTGCAACCCCAAATCTCAGTATAGAGATCCGGGATGGGCTCGCAGGTATTGACATCGATGTATTGCTGTTCCATGATTACCGGCACTCCAGGCTCGCCTTCACGCAACTTCGAACGAATTCTTTCTCCGGGAATCCAGTACGGCCCGCTCTCTCCCTCCGGACTCGGACCGAGCAGGCAGACTTTCTCATCCGAACTCTTGAAGATTTCCTCAGCAGAAGATGGGGAAGCACTACCAGTCATGTTGTGAGACTTATTCAGGACAGTGCTAGTGTCTCGGGCCATGAGCTGCCGGCGGTGCATCTCAACCACAGACTTATGACGGGCTTCAGCGCGGGCTTGCAAGCCGCTCTGATCCAAGCGAGTCGAGCACTTCTGCAATCCGTGGTGGACATCCCTTTTGAGAGCTTGAACCTCCGGGGTGGCACGCTCCTCATGATGTCCAGGGTGAGCGGCTGTCAGGACAGCACCACCAATGACTGCGGCTTTGAACACGTTTTTGAGTTGCATCTTTCCGGGAAAGCAAAAGAAAAGAAGATGAAAGAGATAATTGTCAATAAGCACAATGCGAGTGTCAATTGTTGTCTTCATGAGCAGGCAAACGCACTGCCTTTATATGGTCCTCTTCACCCTAATTCCGAACATTCGGACCATATCCTGGACATTTCTGCCCGTTTTGATGCCATGAACGTAAAAAAGCATATGGGATAATGATTTATTCGGCTTGGCATCTGATATTCTCGACCATAGTATGAAGAGTCGGTCGTAGTTGAGACTTTTGGAAGTGATCGCCCAAAGGACAATGCCGATAGTTGTGTTGAATAGGCGCATACCTACATGTCCGAATCGGACCTGGCTCCTAGCCAATGGCCAACACTCAATTGCAGACTACAGAATCGTGCCTCCCAAGGTAACAAGGTTTGCAATAGAGCCTGTTTGATTGGGGCTGCGCATACATATTGTGGAGAGTTGGATTCCCACACTCAGGACGTCCCCATAAATTCGGTACATAACCTCTCCCCATTTTCCTCCCACAATTCGTCCCACGGTCTCCACGAAGAATTGTGGGAGTTTCTAAAGATAAAGAGGGCTTGGCTATGAGCTAAGAAGTGCCAAGCCGTGGGCCCGAAAGTGAGTTTGATGCTCTTGTTTCAGAAGATTTCGAGCCCTTCAAGTTGTAGTTTTTCTGGATGCGAGAAGACGAGTCAATGTCGAGAACAGACTTGCTATGATTCTCAACGGATCCCGGATCCAGATTACTGTATAGAAAGTCAGTGTTATTCGTCATCTGGTGTGAAGCTCTACCGGCTCGGGACCGAGATGTGCTCTCGGAGTACAAAAATTCGGGATCTTCGGCGTCCCATAGGGTAGCCGAAGGCTACTGCAGCATTGATGTCCCTAGCGCCTGCGCACATAGCCATTCGTTTCATCCTTCGGCCCCACGGGGTTCTTGGCAACTTGGTATAATTCCCCGGCCCGCTATAAACCAGGGCAACAGTAGAAGGCGTTGAGAGACAGCATATAAATATCTTGAATTGTAAGCCTCGTGTCATGAGAAATCTGTGACAATTTACAGCACGTGTCCACTTATTTCTGCATTTCGCTCGTCAAAGCTTAAGATTGCAATACCAGACTATGTCCTCTGTATGAGGCATGGTATATGCTCGTCACGTCCATATATGAGGACAGCTAGTAGTCCACCACTGGGGATCAGCGGGTACTCTGCACTTGGTGGGAAAACTTCGGAAGCAGCATATATCCACCTTGGCGAGAAGCGCAGGAGGACGGAGTGTGTTAAGGCTTGTGTGGAACAATCTGTAGGGGTATCCTGAGTAGATCCTTCATCAATGAACATAACCCAGGTAGCCGAAGTGGATATGCATCCACAGATAGTAGCATCTTGTCTTACGTGGTGTCCAATTAGATATCTTTGGGACGATCAGTGAAGCAAGCTGCAGGGATAAGCATTTATCCCCGGGGAGCGTATCCCGTATTTTGAGCTATCAGATCCCCAAATGAGCTTCTGAAATGCCCCTGAGCAGATGCATCTAGTATATCGCAATGCATTGTGCTATTGAGATGATTAAAATCGGGCATTTGTGAAGCGAGAAGTGTCCGAGACGGAAGCCGTGGTGCTGGAAACTTCAGGACAAAGTGATATAATCAGGGACACCGTGCTTCTAACCTGTAGTTTTAGATCCCTTTATTTTAGGATCCAATATGGAGAGCACAATTGAGTCAAGAGAGAATTCCATAGATCCAGAAACCGGATTGTGCTCGATATAAACTCCGGTTTCCAGCTGAAGAGGAGGGGCGTTGTCATACAAGCTCTGCTCCAATCAATCTCCTTGCTTCTCTGTCATATACAGAAGTAGCCGCAGAGACAGGACATTGGGAGGATCGTCCATGTAGATATATATATTTTGTTTGGTGTAGGATAAATAACAGCCACCCGGCATGCCGGAGGGCTGGTAGTATGAGGTCCGCGAGACACTCGGCTTCAGAGGTGTTGTGTTGAAAAAGCAGCTTTAGACAAAATTTCGTCTCATGAATATTGATTGACAGGCCATGAATTGTTAAGCAAAAGATTCCTGACTGTGGTGATGCTAGGAACTTGGACTGTCGTCGGAGTAACTAGTTAGTTAACTATCCTTGAATGTCATTTTCCTCAGGCATGCAACGTGACTCAGCACAAATTTGGACTTCTCGGATAAACTTATTCTCCGGGACACGCGCGAGGCCCGTGATGTTCGCGCGGACTTTTGGCTGCCAGGATGGATCGCAGGACCAGGTTGTGTTCACGAAGCTTGCCAGGGCCACCACGAAGGCATTGATAGCCGGTTGCTACTTGTGCTTTTTACTGCAAGTTCTTATTTTCTGCGCGAATACCCTGCGATTTCCGTCAACCAAAGCCCGCGTCGATACCTTGCAGTCGCATTCCTTTTGTCGACTGGCTCTCCGATTTAACTCGATCGCGTTTCTAGCCCTCACTCGTGCAGCAATAGAGGCAAATTCTGCAAATACACTTGCTATTCCCCAGGGAAATCTGGAGATTTTTTTTTTTTTTTCGACGCTGGGAATCGCCAACCTAGGAGGGATCGAAACAAGGAACGACCGGAATCCGCTTTAATTGGATCGTTTTGTCAGAACCTGTCGCGCCCTCGAATACGAGACCCGATATATCCTGCTTTCGAAGAAACGAAGGTCGTGATATTGCAAGGCATAGGCGGCAGTTATTGGCGACAACTCGAGTGAAATTGATAGGCCTGTATACAGGAACAACAGGACTACAACGGACAGCATCGAGTCTCAGCTTTTAACGCGCAGAGCTTCTTTGCGAAAACCTCTGGTTAAGGACCAAGATGTCCGCCAATACTCCGCGCACATCCCTACGGGGTAAGTGTTGAGAAACCTCGAAACCAGCTTTTCGCGTATGCGTATCTTATACTGACCGATTCAAAAGAGGGTTTGCGCCAGGCTCCCAAAATCAACCAGCCATTCATTCCTGATACAGCTCCGGTGAGACGCTCCCATATCCACTCGACCACATCCCCTCAATCAACCCCGATGCATGACAATGTCATCCCGTCCGCGAATCCGAACAGTGCTCAGTTTAGTGCGGGGAGCTGGGATGGGCAGAGGCTGGTGCCCATGTCAACGCGCGAGGTAGCGACTCCAGGGAATAGACCAGGCCTGTTTCCAAGTGTCAGCAACAGAGCGAAGACCGCAAAGCAAGCCAATTTCTACGACCCTTATTTTCCACTAAGATTCATCGAAGTCCCAAAGTGTAAGTGGCTTGGATTTGTTTAAAGAGACCCTGCACTTGATTGGCTGGAGCTGACCATGCACTAAATAGCGGATCATATCTACAAGCGGGCACATTATGGTTTGCAGTCAGGTATTTCGGATGAGGTCGACTTCGCATTGTATCACTTGGTGCAAATCTCCAATCAGCGCTGGGATAAGTTCAAGTTCGAAGGCTTCCCCCTGCTTGCTGAGACTCTTATGGGGAAGGCTTTGGACATCACATATCTCTGTACTGGTGTCAAATGGGAACTTGAGTACGATTTCCGGCAACCTACTGACCGTGCCAACATCCTCGACTCATTACACGGTACCCGGGATCTTCTAGAGAAGATCGAGAAACAACCAGTGACATTGCCAAATGACACGCTTGAAACCTACGAATTCAATAATCGTCTCCGAAATGTGAAGGAGTCGACACTGGTCCTTCGGAACATGGTACTCCTCAAAGAGAACGCATTTTATGTGTCACGCTATGCAAAGGGGTTATTAAGAGACTTTTTGGTCATCCTCCTCAACATTCCGAACCAGCCCCGCTTGAACGAAATCAAGAATGATGCTTTGGATATTGCGGAAGAAGTTACGAAGTTCATGAGAACCGACACACAGGATCCGCTCTGGATTACTCTTCTCAGATGCCTTGAGTCACCAGACCGTGCTCACGTTGTGCGGGCCCTCTGGGCTCTGACCCATTTCGGGACAGAACTGGATGAGCCAGACGCAAACAAAGCGATGGAGAACATTTCGAAAGAGACCTTACAACAGCTATATTTCCATACGCTCCTTGACTTGGATAAGGATATCCTGAGTGGCGCACTGGATTTCTGGTACCAGTACACACTTTCTCCAGACAATGTTGAGACCTTGATGGACGTGATTAACCTTCCGATCATCTTTGTGCCGCGCATGATTGCATTGTTGGCGTACGAGGGGCGACCTTCAAAGAAGGAAACGGTACTGCAGGAGGAAAAGGTGGCTCCTCCACCATCAGAAATACCTCGCGTACCTTCTGAACTGCTCAAAGATCTGATGGAGCTCATAGAGCCTGAGCGCAGCTCCCGCTGGCTGCGTTGCTGTTTTGTCGAGGATGGTGATTGCGAGATTACACAAATTGCATTGTGGCAAGCCTACCAAAGCCGATTTGCAGACCCTCGGGTTCCTGGCGGCGGTGTCCTCCCTGCGGCGGAATTCATTAAGAATGTCAGTACCACTTTCACCAACGCCCAGGCTCAAGTCATCAATGGCCCCGGCGCCGCGACAAAGTTCATCATCAAGGGAATCCGGCCGCTTGAGACCGCATATAGTTTCCAGGGATTCCCCTACTTTTACTGCCAATGGGCAGACAACACAAAACCATCTAAGGAATGCCAACGCGCATTTACTACCCCTGCTGATCTCCGCACACACGTCTTCTCCGAGCACATGAACCTCAAAGCCACCGATACACCCGGCCAATATAACCTGGAGAAGGCGGATTCGCCTGTGCACACCTGTCTGTGGGACAACTGCACCAAGTTCCGCTCGTCTGGGCTCAGTGCCGACACTCCGTTGGTTGCCGGTCATGTATCCTCGCATCTACCCGAGGATCTTGCACCAGATGCGGAGCCACCGACCTCGAAGCGTGCTGTGCTCCAAGAACGCATCGTACGCAAGTGGTTCTACATGGACTCTCCGGTCAACGAACGAGGCGAGCCCGTCGGTGTGGCTTACAAGGCTGCTCTGGTGCTGCGCAATCTTGCTAAGAACCTCCCTACTGGCACTGCGGCACAGTACGGCGGACTTCCATGGAAGAAAGCCGTGTTTCTCAGTCATCGGCCCAAGATCATCGAGACATGGGACCGAAACCGGTCTCTGCGCAAAGAGCTCACTGAGTTGATTATGGCAGTAGAGAAGGAGGACTACTATTAAAGCAATCAGAGGGAGTGAAGATGACTGAAATGACGCAAAAGAAAGACTCTTTTGCTTGTTCTCGACTGAGGATCTTCTGTGGACGTGTTTTTGTACTTTTCACGTTTTGATTATGCATTCTACGGTGTACGAATAATAATACCCTGGCTGTCTGGTCTCTACCTACCTTACTCTCTGAACTCCCGTGGCTATCATGATCTCTTTAGACCAGTCTTATCTAAGGGCCTGACGGCTGATCCTCGGTACTCGTGCGGCTTTGTGAAAAGGTTGACAGGTGGGATGGAAGCGCGGATGAAAATATATGGCGTCTATGGCATGAAGCGGACTTATGGATTGATTTCTTTTCTCTTTCTTTGCTTTTTTTCTTTCTTCGATGGGAGTGTACTATAAGGTGCAAGTGGAGGGGACTTGACAGGATGTTACGGTTAGACAGGTTATTACTGTTGAATTGCTATGTATAGGATTAGTTCAGAGCGCACATTCCTTTCCATTAAGTTCTGCACCGTAAAACATCGAAAGACGCGGGGAGCATCTGTATATCCCCAGATTTGCCCGATGTCCAAAAGCGGTATAGCGCGTTTTTCTATGCATACTGTGCAAATTATGCAAGGTCTTATGTCATCTATCCCCGCCCACCTTTTGCAGCCTGCAGCCACACTTCGTTTAACCAAAACCCCAACAACTTTACAACAAAGGAATGCTCGGAATATCTCGCATACGTTTACGACACAGAGCAAGCGACTTCAAAGATGGGTGAGAAAAGCGACAACCTCTTTAAAGTCAGTAACCCCCTAAACTCGAATATCTCCAGCTTGCCGCACAATGAATTCAACGTCGCACTTGGCATGACTAACCGCTGGATCGATTGCTATACAGGAATTAGAAAAGACCTACTGCCCACCGCTGGATGCAGCGTTATTTACAGCAATTGTTTCCGACTATGATCTGTCAGACTCGGATCAGGTCCAGCAGGCCCGCGACACTTTAGATATCCTTCAGTTGTCTGCTTTGGAGCAGGAGGATCTTCCTTTCGACCCATCAGGCACCAGTGGCTTGGGGACGACCAGCAACGATATTGATGGAATCGTGTCGGATCACAGTGCCTCTCGAAATGACAGTTCAGGCCAATCCCAGGAAACGGATCTCACATCGGAATTCTCCTCGGTTGATATGAGAGATAGGGATCTCTTCGGTTACAGCAATGATCGTTCGACATCCTCTGGATCGGCAGGATATATCCTAGGAGCCGATGGGAACATCACCTTGGCCGGGGCGAGTGAGGAGGACAAAGTTCGCTACTTGACGGAAATGTTTCCGTCGGTAGAACGCTTTACTATTCAGCATACGCTGAAGAAATCGGACGGTGATGTCGATCGTGCAATGGACGTCTTGCTTAATCTCGCATTCTTCGACGAGCAACCTCCTGACGAAGACGGAGGCAAAGTCTTAGTTCCCAAGGGTATCGACGGTTTCCAGGAGGGCTCGAGTGGGAAGGGGCGCAAGCGGAAGACCAAGAGCAAGAAGAGCAAGAACCAGGAGTTGTCGTCTCCTGTGGGGTCCGAATTCGACGAGAGCCCGAGTATCAACAAATGGGATGCTGGATTAAAAGATGTCGACTTCATCCATTCACGAACTTCACCGATATTGAAGAAGGAGACGGTCACCTCAACCTACCACGCCAACGGAGCCTCATTGCCCGCGACAATTAGGACTCTTGCAACTGCGCATGCGCCGAAAGACGAAAAGAAGATTCACGAGAACCCCGTCATGGCTGCGCAGGTGGCTGAGTTGACCCAAGAGTTTCCTTCAATCACGCCAATTACTTTTGCAGGATTACTTTGTATCACACGAAACTCGACTTCAGCTGCTAATGAATTAGCAGCTGCCTTGATCACCCGCCCAATGACGCCTTCGGTGTCTCAGTTGATCCAGTTCACAGCTACACCCCCGCCTCTTGATATCGAAGACGCAACGCCCAGTCAACGCAAGCGAGAGGCTCGAATGATCAGAAACTTTGATCGCGCACATGGAACTGCAGGGGCGCATTTCGTCGCCGGTGCAGAGGCATTCTCTAAGGCCTCGATGGCATACAGACGTGGAAGGTCTGATCGCCTGATGGGCGGTGCAGCTGCGTATTACTCCTCCATTGGACGTGACCATCTGGAACGAGCGAAACACAACGCTGCCGCCGCTTCTGATGCCTTGGTAGACTCGCAATCGACATCTACCATGCTGGATCTACACGGAGTTTCGGTGCAGGACGCAGTTCGGATTTCCAGTGAACGAGTCCAGGACTGGTGGGACGCACTTGGCGATACCAAGTATATGCGGGTCAGGGAAGGCCGCGCATATGAAGGATATCGCATTGTTACTGGAGTTGGGCGACACAGTCATGATGGCACGTCCCGGCTGGGACCGGCCGTGTTCAAGAGACTTGTACGGGATGGATGGAAAGTGGAAGTGGGTGAAGGAGTTTTTACCGTGTTTGGTGTTTCTCGACGCTGAATGTTTATGTGCTATTTCCTCATGGGTACATATGGTGTGTCATTTACATGTGGATTTTTTTGGAATCTGTTCGAGATACCCTGACAGTTAGCGTCATTTATTCTGTCATTTTGGATTGAAGAAAATTGCTATATATTATGCCATGCGTAATCAACGACCGCTCTCATGCCAGGCCCGGACGCCGTAATTCTGAGCTGCAGTGAATAAAAGACTTCCAGGCACCAGCGGTTTATTGGCGCATTCGGAGTGTTTGTGCAACCCTGACGCAAGAAGGAGCAGACAACGATGCCGTGTTTCCTCTTTGGGCGACTCTGGTCAGGTGATCTGGTTCCTTCCTCTCGTTCGTTATATAGCGTCGTCCTTCGCCCCTCTAAACCCTTTTTCTCTTCGTCCCCTTAATCACAACCATCACCACTATCACACTTGACTGTTTCCGCTCCTCTTCGACCTTCTTCAGCCCCTCACGATCCTCCGTCTTTTCTCACCATGACGGACCCGTCTGATCGAGAAATGTCAGAGCACGAAGAAGATATGCCAGTACGCAAGAAGGGTCGCACCTCCGGTCTCACCGTCGAGGAGATAGAAAAGGGTGGAGAGACCAGTCTGATCCAGGTGGGTTGAGCTCAACGACCTCAACTAGTCACATACTGACGCGAGGTCAACAGAACTGCAAACTCGATGCCTGTACTGATTGGTTTAGCTCTCGCCTGTACAGTCTCAAGCCCGACTATTTCCCAGGCTGGAACGAACGAGAGCCGAAGTGGGACGCATTCCCGGAGAACGAACTGAAGAAAGTGACGGAGGAACTGGAGCAGCACGTGCGTCGGTTGGTCCCAGGATTTCTCAAAGACAACGAGGCCGTCCTGAAGAAGGAGTTCAAGGACTGACTGTCAGCGAGATGGGAACCTACGTTCAGTGGTCTTCGCTCAGGAGCCGACAAGCAGGACCAAGACTGGGTCCCTCGATCTCTTCTGGATGTGCTCTCAGACAGGCAGCACAAAAAAACGGACCAGAAAGTCTCAAGCGACTCCCCCCGGGGACCACAAGGCGTTTTTTGAGTCCTGTCGCCAGTTGAAGGGGTTTGTAGAAGGCGAGCAAGCTATGGCATCGCTTGCCTGCGGTGGTACTATCCCCATTGCCGTGCCGGGAACTGAAACCACCAGCCCAACCCCTGCTCCAGTGAATATCTTTTGGTCAACAAGCGACGATTCAGTGGCGAACAAGTTGGTCCTGCCGGCCAATGGAGCCACTCCAGAATCCAGTATGGATGTACTCCAACGTCTGATTTTCAACTGTGGTCCAGCTAGCTTCTGTCGAGGAAATCAGGATGTTATGGATCCAGAATACCGCAAGGCCGTCAAGCTGAATTCTGACCAGTTTGCCACAAAATTCCATCCAGTGGATTATGGGCTCATTGAGCATATTGAGCAGATCCTTCTCCCCAGCATCTGCAGCAAGGAAGACAAGACGCATCTGCGCAAGCTCCATGCAGAACTCTACAAGTTTAATGTGAGTTGAAACATGCTTTTATTGTCAGTCAGTCAACTAACTTGCTCGGTAGGTTTATTCAGGACCATCTGGTCTGTTCCGCAAGCATGTTGACACCCCACGCTCTGAGAAACAGGTTGGCTCTCTGGTGGTGTGTCTGCCCTTTCCATTCAAGGGGGGATGACTTGACTGCGTAGCACCATGGCCAGGAAGTCAAGTTTGACTGGAGTGCCAGAAGTGCCTCCACCATCCAATAGGCAGCTTTCTACAGTGACTGCAAGCATGAGATCAAAACTATCACTGAAGGTGATCGGATCACGCTCACCTACAATCTATACGTTACAGAGCCCCAGCTTCAGGGAGACATGCCTATTTTGGATCCGAAGAATCTTCCCCTGTATGACTGGATCAAGGGCGCATTTCCACTGATGCCTGCGGAAGTCAGAAAATCGCAGTGATTCACTCCCAGAATTTTCAGGCAGTGCTTTGTTGACAGAGCCATTGTCCTACATCTGATTAGTTCTTTCTTCCAGCGGCATCTTGATCGGGACTGGTTGCGATCCTCGATCCTGCAGGTAGGGCGTTTCCAAAGGACCCGGCTTTCTGCAATAAGGTATGTTAAACCCCCATCTCATCTCCTGACATGCGTGCTTTAACAAGGGGTTAGGTGGTGTACTTGGGTTTCCCTGCTCTCACGCGTATCCGCAAGCCTAGGAGTATGATCGCTCTGGCAACGAAGCTTCGAATGAAACTCGATACTGCTGCATGGCAATTTTGGTGGTGGTTCCTCCCGCGGATCAGGGAAACATTCCCGCTTAGGCAGGAATTGAATGAAGGGGGTGTGTTAAAGAACAGAGCAGCTCGGTGAAACATGCAGCGTTGTTGAAGTGTTACATGGAAGATATCAAACATGGTCATCTGATTTGTCAACTATTGCAAGGGTAGTTACTCTACATTAGACTGAATCGAAATATAAGTCATATGATCAATATTGCATGGTTTCGCTGTGCCAAATTTAATCTCACTGCATCTTACCTAAGGAGCCGCAGCAGCAAGCTAGCCCTACAAGGAAAGCATAGTATTAAGATTGAAAGCATGAAGAACTTTTCTTCGACGGAAACCACCGTTTTTAAGGACATTCTCCAACACCATCTACCCAACTCTCCCAACAGAAACACCCATCGAAGAGGAGACCTCGCGCTATTATAAACCAGACCAATATTACCCGGTTAACATCGGAGACATGTACAGGACCAGATACCGGAAAACTAGGCTACGGCGCCTACTCAACAAGCTGGCTATGTCGAGATCTCCAGTGCATCCTGACCAACTTAGCAAACAAATCAACTCAACCCAAGCAGCGATCCCCTTGACAAATCCATAGAAGGCGGCGAGGCAGCTGCTCGAAGATCCGTGGTTGGCAGAGTTGTGATCCCATACTGGTATATGGTGGTATGTTTAGAGAGTTGGAGGAATGGGGGGTGAGTGTAGAAGGGAAGCTAGGGACCAAGGGAGCGGGAGCTTATAAAGTGGAGGTACGGCGGACGATAGCTACCCGTGGTTCAGGACCAGCAGCTGTTACCTTCTGCAATGGGTGATCTGTAGATCAATACCCCAATTGATCAGTCACTTTGGCTGTTTTTCTGTTGAAGTTGAGTTCTTCGAGCAGAATTACTCGTGTTTTGCGGGGTACTCTGTACAAGTAGACGGCAACGTTACAGGAACCATGAAAGATATCCATACTAGAAACAACTGTTCCCTTCAATTTCTCATGTCAGGACTGAACGTGACAAATTCACCGTGTAAAAACCATCCCAGAACCAGCAGTACCTCGTTTCCCATGTAAACAACATATAGCAAAACACCCCCAAGGATCTGACCCTATCCCTCAAACGCCGACGGGTCCCCAAAGTCTCCGCGCGGGTTACCCTCGCTGAAACCACCAGCATTCACTTCTTCGCCGGTTCGCTGGGTGGGGTATAAACCGAAGAGCCCTGGCCGTTGTTATAGTACTTGCTGCCATCAGGGTTGGAGTAGTAGTAGGAGCCGTTGCTAATCAGCAAAAACAACAGTCAGCTTCCATTCCACAGGGGAGGCGAGACATGACGACGTCGAAGCAAGAACAGGGAAGGAAGGTAACGTGTTGGAATAGTGGTAGCTGTTGGCGCCATTGCCATAGTCGCGGTTGCAGTAGTGGTTGCCCTGGAGGAATCAGGTTAGACCCAAGTCTCGACGTGTGTCAGGCGAGGATAGAGGGTGGTGCTTACCTGGCTGTTGGTGCCAGTGCCGGTGGTGTTGTAGCCGCTTTTGTAGTCCATTGTGATAATGGGTGTTTGTGGTTGATTGGGATATAGATGGAGAATTATGTTGCAGAGAGAGGTGGATGAGATATGGAGAGGGCGAGGAGGAAAGAGGAGAGAGGAAGGGTTATAAGTGAATTACTACGGCTACCCGCAGTTCGCACTTTCTTTTTGCAATGATGCCCGCTGGCAATGCAAACAAGAAACAAAGAGAAATCAACGAGCATTACAATTGAACCTGGCGCTTATGGTCTAGAATTGCCATCACATGGCATATGTACAATTAGATGAAGATACAAAAAATTATCGAGATAGAAAATTACTCCCAAACATTCGAAAACAAATCATCAGCACCACCACCAAACCCGCCAGCCGGTTTAGTAGAAGCCGCCGTAGAAGAAACAGGTGCCGCGCTCTCCCAACCGCCAAAGTCCTCGTCAGTAGCGACTGTCGGAGCAGGCTTGGGAGATGGGACACCCCAACCACCAGGAGAAATGTCGTTCGCGGTTATGGTCTCAGGGACCTTCATCATATCAGCCGTTGATGGGGCAGCAGGAGCGGCGGGTTCGGGGTCCGGGTTGGACCATGCGTTGCCGCCTCCTCCCCATGGATCGATGCTCGACGGGATTATGTTGGCTGTCACGGCCGGCGTCGACGCGGAGGGGGAGGTCACGGGTTTAAGAGCAGGTGCGGGAGATGGGTTCAGGTTGAAGGCTGACTTCATCTCCTCCTGAGGAGATGATACCTTCGGCTTGGGTGGTGGGGGAGCGGTAGTGGTGGCTAAAGGTGGAGATGCAAGACCAAAGAGATCGTCCGAAGCTGACGCGGCTGGCGGCGGCTGTGGCTTGCTCTGTTGGGGTTGCGGCGATGGAGACGCAAACCCTCCGAAGAAGTCTTGTCCAGAGGAAATCGAGGTGGTGTGCGATTGAGGCTTAGATTGCGGAGGAACCGTTGGGGATGTCAGGCTGTCAAATAAGCTGACGCCCGCACCGCCACTGGCTGATGCGTTTGGAGAGGATAATTTGGGGGCTGCAGGGGACGACTTTGCACTGGCATAGCTCGCGAGGTTGGCGAACGGAGACGGTTTCTCCGCAGGCTTCGGGGCTGGAGAGGTGGTGGATGGGAATGACAAACCACTGAACGCATCGGTCAAACCACCCATGTTCGACGATGACGCAGACGGGGGCGGCGGAGAGGCCATGTCTCCGAATGATGGCTGGCGCTGATGTTGAGCAGGAGCCGGCTGAGGTTTCGCGTAAAGCGACAAGATGGATTGTTTCAAGTCTGGTCGCGACATTGCCGACGAACCGGTAGGTGTAGACGAAATGCTGGCTGGGCGGCTGGAGGGCGCGGGCTGAGGGCTACCAAAGAAATCGAGTCCGAGCAACGAGTCGTTTGCACGGTGCTGTTTTGGACCTGACTGCGGTTGCTGGGGCGGCTGTACACGCGGTGTAGGGTCTGTCGTACTAGGCCGGGCTGGAGGAGAAACAATATCGTCATCATCGAAGAGGCTGACCGACGCCGTTTGTTTGTGTTGTGCCGGGGGAGGGGGGTTCCTAGAAATCGGTGCTCGCTGGGAGGCTGAGCGCTCAAGCTTGGCCTTTTCCTGGACGACGGCAAGGGGCTGACCAGTCAGTTTCCTGTCCATTGTCGCAAGAGTCGAGAAGTGTGTCCACCTACCACATCATCGTCACCGGATTCCAGAGTCGATGGATCGGGCATGCCCCCATCCATTACCCAACGCTTAGAATCGTATTTGGTGCGGATAAAGTTCTCGATCTTACTGTCACGCAGCAACCGTCAGCATGGGGGCCAAGTACCATTCAGTTTTCAAGCTTCACTCACGCTTCTGAGGGAACATGGCCGGGCGCAAGTTTCGCCTCCCAATATCTGTAGACAACCCATCAGCACGACCACCCTAACCAATATCTTCGAACAGCAGGGTCGACCAACTTGTTGGCTCTCGCATTGCCCCATTTCACCACACTCTGGAGTTGTTCATCGGTCCACGCATCGAGATCCACGGACTTCACTCTGCTGATATGTGTACCCATACCCCTATGGATTCCGGAGCAACGAATGCAAATAAAGATTCCCAAGTTCCAAGACGCCCATCGCGGATCTATTCGAAAAAAATCTAATGTCAGTTTCCCATCGCAAAAGTCATATAGTTATCGCAACTCGATTTCCGGGGATCTCGTCGGGCATTCAACTAACGTTTGTTGCGCTTGCAATCGGCACACGTCTTGTTCGTATCAAGTTTGAGCAGACTCTTAATGACCTGCTGGTTTTGGGCGGCCTGAGTCGGGGTCGGACGGCGAGACATGACAGCAGTTCGACTCAATCAGGAATAACGACAATGTTGCGTTGTTGTGCACGAGGGATGGGAGATTAACGGGGACTGAAATGCGGATCGTGGCCCTTTGGGTGGCGGTGCGTGGCGGCCTTGTTGCCTTGCTGCCTTGGGCTGATATTGTTGTAACTATGACCAGAGTATAGAACGACTGTGCTCACATATTGTGAGTAAAAGAGAGGGTTATAGTCACAGAGAAGAATATATATCATTCAATAAAGTCATATTCATATCACATCACACCCACCAAAACCACATACAACACTCCCTAAACACCAGTATACTCCGCACACCACACCCATACAATCACTAAAACCCAACCACTACGCCTTCGCCTTCTCATCCCCCTCCGTAAACCTCAAACTAACACTATTAACACAATGCCTCTCATCCGTCGGCGTCTTATACCCCTCCCCTTTGAACACATGCCCCAAATGCCCTCCGCAGTTATTACACACAATCTCCGTCCTCTCCATCCCGAACGAACTATCCGTAAACCGCTTCACAGCACCAGGAACCGAGTCAAAGTATGCAGGCCAGCCGCAGCCGGACTTGAACTTGTGGTTGGCTTTGTAGAGGGGCGCGTCGCAGCCGGCGCAGGTGTAGACGCCGTTCGACGGGTAGTGAGCGTCATAGGCGCCGGTGTAAGGGCGTTCGGTGTCTTTTTCGCGGAGGATGCGGAATTGTTCTGGTTGCGTTAGCTGTTGGCGACATGTCCAGGGGAAGAATGGGGAGGGAGGGAGGCGAACCAGGACTCAAAACAGCCCTCCACTCATCATCGCTGCGCTGATCGGGGTAGGACATGTCGTCGCTAGATTCGGCTTTGGCGCTTGAACTGAATAGAGATCCAATGAAGGGAATTGTAGGAGCGGCTTTGAGGACTGTTGCTCCGGATACTGGAAGAGGGGGTTTGCCAAAGTAGCGAAATGGAGACGCGGTGGTTTGGGGTCGGAGGGGAATCGAGAATATTCGGAGCGCGGTGGTTAAACGGTGGAGGCGCATTGAGGAGGGGTTATTCAAAGAAACTGTAAGCGAACTAATTAATAAGAATAGAATCGATGGTTTTCAGCCGGAGATAGATTTGAAGCCGTTGCAAAGACTCGTAGAAATCGCGAATTTGCCGTCGCTTTTACGTCATCATGTGGAGAGCTAACTAACTATACGAGAGGAAATTATCAAATGTTTTAGCGAGTATATTTATTCGAAAAATTCTATACATGAAAAGCGGTAAAGTTCAATCATAGACAAAGAAAATGCTTGTATATCCATCAAATAATGTCCATTATCTGCCCGTCAAAAGAAACTGTAATTATAGGCACATCACACCATCCACGCCTTGTTGATATAGCTTGCCGCGCTTACTGTGCGAAAGGAGTAGGGGAGGCAGAGGGAGTTCCAGAGGACGCAGAGCTGGAAGGAGCAAAGCCAGAAGGAGCAGGGCCTGAGGGAGTAGGACCAGCACCGAACGGGGCAGTACCGAAGGGAGCAGAGCCGAATGGGTTGGAGCCAAAGGGGTTGGAGCCAAAGGGGTTGGAGCCGAAAGCACCGCCAGAGGAAGCAGGACCAGAAGGAGCAGCGCCCGAGGGACCACCAAAGCCGCCGAAGCTGCCAGAGGGAGAAGCACCCGAGGGAGCAGGGCCAGAGGGCTTAGGACCACCGAAACCACCGAAAGGAGGGCCACCGAAGCCTCCGGGGCCACCAGAGGGAGCGGGGCCCGAGGGGGTAGGGCCCGAGGGAGCAGGGCCGGAAGGAGTAGCGCCCGAGGCGAACGGAGGAGGACCACCTTCCTCACCAAACTGACCCTGCTGGTGACCCTCCTCAAAAGGCTGAGAGCGCTTCTGCTGCTGCTGGCCAAAGCCGCCAGTGGGCTTAGGGCCCTGCGGCGGTGGGCCAGAGGGAGTGCCAGAAGGAGTAGGACCAGCACCGAATGGTGCGGTACCGAACGGAGCGGAACCGAACGGGTTAGATCCAAATGGGTTCGAGCCGAAAGCGCCACCGGAGGGAGCAGGACCCGAAGGAGCAGGACCGGAGGGTGTGAAGCTGTACGAAGCAGCATCAGAAGGAGCGGAGGGGAACCCGGAGGGACCAGGAGCCGGAGGGAAGTTTGAAGGCAAGCCGGAGGGAGCGCCAGCCGGAGTGCCGGACTGCTGAGGGAAGCCAACAGGCAGACTCGAAGGGGTACCAGTCACAGACGACACTGAGCCAGCAGCAGTCGGCTGTTCTTGGGACTTCTCGTTGTTGGGGACGGGAACGGCCAAAGCAGAGCCGCAGAGGGTAAGGAGGAGGGCAGCGGTTTGAGGCTTCATCGTGATAATAGAATTGGAACTGTCGTAAAAAATCAAAGTGTAAAAATTGATGATCTGGTGATCTAAGGACGTGAGGACGTTAAAGACGTGGATATGATATTCGTGATTTACTGAGTCGCCAGGACTGTTTGTGGATTGTTGTATAAAAGAAGGAGTAACTGACACGGGGATCCTTAGGGGTTTATATAGGTGTCTGGATCCGGAACACGATGGTCGACACACAGGCCAAAGCTTCCGGGACGTGCAAAACAAGACCGAAATTGTGGGGCATCATGCACCACTGCCTGGATTCTCAGATTAGAACAGGCAGACAGAGAATCACTTCATCCGTCTCACTTTCCGCTCCGAGAGATTCAGCCCTAGAGAGCCGTGGGGGCTCAGGAAAACATACGTAATCCCTCCATGGTGGATGGAGGCTCATATGCATGTGGCTCTGACTGAGTGGACTATGCAATATGCATGTAGTTTGACGTTTTGCTCTATTTTCTTCCTTGGCCGCTTTTCCTTCCTAGCTGTATTCCGGTCTGGGATGTAAGCTTTCCGTATGGAGCATACTAGACCCTCTCATTCCAAAACCATCGTGTTACGTTGACAGTTCGACCATCTCCGTTTGTTTGCAGTTTGTATGCACGGAGGACTGTTTATTGACGACGATCTTGGTGCACCGACAACTCTCCGTCTATACATAGCAACAGCACCACTTCACTCTTCCATATTGCGATGATGCGTCAGTTAATCTGTGTTCTGTCGACGGTGGAAATCCTTTCCACCGCAATTCGTGGCGAAAAATGCTTGTCAGCATCCTCTGTAGTCTATCATACGTCCAAATCACGACGTGCCGATCATTTGACTGTGAGAATTGCGCGTTCTCTTTCGGATAAGTGAGAAAAAAAAAAGAAATGGCTGGAGTAAGACGTAATTAAACTCTCACTGCCTGAATAGCTCGCATGAGAATTGATATTATGACCAGGAATAATTTCTGGCCAGGCCAGTCTAGTCAGAAGACGTGTATTTCCCCCCTCCGGTCCCCAGACAAGCGAGCAGCCAACGGTAAATTCGACGAGCCAACGTGGAGACAGAGTCGGAGACGGGATGAGACGAGGCTGCCCAGTTTCCGATTAATTTTGAATTAAACGATATTTCGGAATATCCGGAGAATTCATTAAGCGAGTAACGATCATCACTACAATCTTCGTCAGTCTTGGGGCGATGTGTGGCGGTGACTACGGATACGGACAGAGTTTAGCAGGCAGACAACAACAACAAGAATAGAACCCTCAAGTCAAACCCTGAACGTCATCAGGGTAGTAGTTATTTGTGCATGCACGCCCTGGAATAGTTCGAAACCCTCATTTCCCCTCCCCTTGCAGTGACGAGAATAGGGAGAAACTCCGGGGTTTCAAAATCGTTTCGCGTGGTGTGGCGTTCGGAGGGAAAAGGCTGGTGATCGACAGTCTCCGGTGTCGCAGAAGGGAGCTCTGGCCCATTATCATTGACGTAGGGGTTAATAACCCTAATAAAAGCTGGGTTTCTGGGATAGATTAAAGTGTCAATTAATTTGGGGTCCGCTCGCTAGAAATTGCGGTTGTTCAGGAGACTTTTCTTCTGAAACGAGTGACTTGGTCTGTGACCGCATGTGATTCATGGTCCGACAGGGGAAGAGATCATGAAAAAGCAAGAAAAGGCGAGACCAAGCAAAAGGAGGATGCTTCAAGTAGAAGAGGGGGCGATGCGAGACGAGGCTAAGTCCGCTCAATATATCTTATCAATCAGTGCCATCAAGACCGCAACACAAAATACCCTATGTCGTACGGAGACTTGAAATCTCTGGGAAGTATCTAAATTATGCATTAGAGCTTTTCCCAAGTCTCCATGGGATCTCTAGTCTTTTCTGACTGAATGCGACTTTGGACGTGCCGTATCCAAGATATCAGTCAAGAGTACGAATATATATTACCTTATTAGCCTAACGACGGGGAGTTTCAAGCTTCCTAGTAAGTATACTGCTAAGCAGCTCACCTACATCTCAATGTGATATTCGCGGATAGTTTATCCGTCAACGTCCGTAAAATAGCAATACCTTCCTTCGAGCGCCATACAGGTTTATAGAACTGGATCCATATCGTATAGAGAAGAAGAAACAACAGACATAGTCATTCTGCCAGGCAACATAATGTTTAGGCTCATTTGGCTCAGCCAAAGGGGTCCTTTGTCGTCTACATGCGGATACATATCCATGTTCCCTTTTGGGGTAGTATACCAAACCACGCACTGCAGTGAATGTCAGCAATCACGCCAAAGGACACACAAACCCACACAGATCAAAGAAAAATGGAAAGGAAAGAAAGAAAAAAAAAAAAAAAAAACCCCTCCTCTAGTCATCTCCCCCAACTCTCTCTCTCTTCTTCCCACCTCTCAACCATCCGCCAATCCTGACAAGCAACCATGGCACGCACATCTGTGTCCTCCTTGGCGCAAGACATCTCTCATCACCTAAATTTGATCAACAGCCAGGAAATCACCGAGAGGTCTACGCGGAAGCACCTCGAAGAAGAGCTCAGCACTGCTCCTCTGTTTTCAGCACTCGCCCAGCAGATCGTCGAGAGCCAATACCAGAACGAGAACGAAAACGAGAACGACAATGAGAATAAGGTGTATTCTCAGTATGGCCTCTTGGGACTGCGAATGAAAGGCGGTCACTCGCAAGTCAACTATCATAACTTGATATACGCCAACGTTGCTGCACCCTGGTCATCATTCATCTGCGGCAGTCAGGGTAGTGGTAAAAGTCATACTTTGTCTTGTCTGTTGGAAAATTCGCTGATCAAATCGTCATCTGCTGGACGACTTTCTTCTCCTTTGGCCGGTATGGTTCTGCACTATGACAAGTTCACAGCGTTTGGCAGTACTCAGCTTTGTGAGGCGGCGTATCTATGCTCGTCCGGCATCCCGGTGCGCGTCCTTGTGTCGCCAACCAACTACTTCGCCATGAAGGAGGCATATGAGAACCTTCCGGGATTGGGAGACGCGTCTAAGTTGCTTCGCGTGGTGCCCATGTACTTGTCACAAAAGCACTTGAATATCAGCGTGATCAAGACCTTGATGGGGATCAGCAGCGGGCCCAACCAGCCCTTGTATGTTGAGGTATGGGGACCTAGAACTCAGCAACTGGCACAAACAAAGCTGACATGCTCCTAGTTCATCATGAAAATTCTTCGTGATATGGCTCGAAGCAACCAAGGTCGCGGTCATTTTGATTATAACGAATTCAAAATGCGGATTGAAAACGAGGAGTTTGTCAAAGGCCAGACCCGCCCACTGCAAATGCGTCTCGATGTGCTCGAATCATTCTTCGAACCGGGAACTGTGATGGTAAAAGGCAAAGCACCCCAGAAAGCTCTATACGATATCTGGCAGTTCGACAAGGGATCCTTGACCATTGTGGATTTGAGTTGTCCTTTCGTTGGGCCTGATGATGCTTGTGCATTGTTTAATATCTGTGTGTCTCTGTTTCTGAAGGATCGAAAGCATACTGGGCGCATGATTGCTCTCGACGAAGCGCATAAAGTAAGACATCCCCGGCCTCTAGTTGCAATTCAAAGCTGACTGGGCATAGTTCTTGACAGACACTGCCCCAGAAGCGGTCGAACTTACCGAGACACTTCTGTCTATTATCCGTCAGCAACGCCACTTGGGCGCGCGTGTGATGATAGCTACACAGGAGCCCACGATGTCACCGGCCCTCTTGGACCTCTGCAACGTCACCATCGTGCATCGGTTCACTTCGCCTGCCTGGTTCGCAGCTATCAAGAAGCACATTGCCGGTGCGTCAATGGGCGACGATGGTGAAGCCAAATCGGCCTTCTCTGTCCAACTTTTTCAACAGATTGTGAAGTTGAAGACGGGTGAAGCGCTGGTTTTCTGTCCCACTGCGCTCCTCGATCCTGTCTGGATTGGAAGTGGCAACACTAGCACTGCCTGTTCCGAGGCTGACGGAGATAGTGATTCGGGCGTCGAAATCAATGCTCAAGGTGTTTCACAGTTGGGCCCGAGGTACTTTAACCTCAGAGTTCGAAAGAGGGTCACTGCGGATGGTGGACGAAGTCAACTCTCCAAATGATGTACGCAACCAGATAGCGTTGTCTTTTTCCATATCGCATTTTTGTTTGGGCTTCACTTCAACGATGTGGGGAATAAGCCAAATTTAACATATCAAATATGAAATCTGGATAGGTAGCTCAATAAATGCTTTGTTGACCCGCTGATTCTCGTAGGGCCCTTCGGAGATTCCCAAAGCATATGTCACTCCGTGGAATTTTCTGGTTGTTTTTAGTGGAGAATTCCAACAGCCCAAGACTGGGCGTACCGGACGATGTAGATATACGGGTGCCGTATCCCGTGAACATGTCTCAATCGGGATGATTTGGTTCGGCAAGTGAGACACCACCAAAAATCTTTGCTATGATTTCCACGGCGCGATTGATTGACTGATTTACCGATTTACCTGAGTAGAGGCGATCCGGTCATAGCTGAGTGTGCCTTTCTTTCTTTCTTTCTTTTTTTTTTTTCCTTTATTTATTTATTTATTTATTTTTTTTTTGCCCTTCCAGTTCCTAGTTCCCTAGTTCGCTCGCCTTGTCGATATCCGCCAATGAGAGGGATTATGGCATCGGACTGTTCCAGGATCTCCGAGACATTGCCATGGTCCCTTTTTACCTTTTTTTTTTTTTTTTTTTTCGGATATTGGGCCCTGTCACCGAGACACAGAATTGGTTGCCGGGAGTTCTTTCGTTAGGTTTCAGGCAAAAATACAGCTCTTATCGTGGCAGCTGGTGATAATGCAAGGTTATGGCGGACTGTCTAAGCCACTGGAGGTCATTGTAGACAGCTGATGTCATTCTTTACCAGAACTCCTCATCAAAGGGGAAAGAGTCAGTAAAGTAGTCGATGAAGGGAGCAAAGGAGATAAGCTGGAGAAGAAGACGAAGTTGCGATGGTCGATCGATCAGCTGACCATTACCGCTGTACACTGCTTCCACTGCAAGATAACGGCTATTGCATATTTATGGGCATCCAAATCGAAATCTATTGAATCAATATGGATGGATCGAAATCTCCGGCGGTTCAGACCGCCCATCGCGTTTCCCTTTTGGGCGAGTTCTATCTAAGCTAGTATGACAGCCCAAGGGTCTTGTTCTTGATAGTAACTAGGATAACCCGATCCTTCTGCACCTAGTACAACACCACAATGAGACAACAAAAGCCCTAGGGAAAAAAGAAAGGAACAGTACACAAGGCAGCCCTGCGATCTAGTTGTAAGGGTGCCAATAGAAGGGCGTTGAAGGGTATCCATATACCGATGGATGGATTCGACTGCAGTGGTTACTACTAATAATAATTCCAATAATGGACCCTTTCCGAGTATTCGCCTGAACCATTTCCTGTGCTCGATGAATCCATAATTAACATCCCTAAAATAGATCCTGCTTCCTCGGCCCTGGCCTGAAAAAGTAAAACATGGCCTGGGATGGCTCCCTTGCGAGAGGGTCTATAAAAGGCGTTGTCCTCGAAGTGGACGAAAATTTACTTTCTGGGAATTTTATACACAAGAACTATTATTCTTGAACACTCGTTAATTCTAATCCTGCTGTCGTTCGTTTTCTTCGAAGCTTTCAAAGTACATTCGCTTCATCAATAAACACACTCAGTCACAATGCGGTTCACCATCACTTCCGTTGCTGCTTTTGCTGCCACTACTGCAGGTGTGTTTATTTTACTCTTCCCTAGTTAAGAAGAAAGCCTACTAACAACATCAGCCCTCTCCATTACCTCTCCCGAAAAGCACGATGATGTCGACCTGAGCAAGTCGACCACTATCGAGTGGAACTCGGTCAGGTACGTGAATGACCCTAATATCATATCAACATCCTATACTAATGAGACTGTACAGCTCCGACCCGTCCTCGTTCGACATCTACCTGGTCAACATGAACGGCTACCCCAACGTCAACAAGCTGGTCGCGGAGAACGTCAAGACCTCGGACAACTCTTACACCTTGAAGGATCTCGCTGGCATTGACAACGGGTATGTTGCCTTCCTAACATTCAATTCTTTGGCTAGATAGATACGGTTACTGACGTGCGCAATAGCTCCGGTTTCCAAGTCAACTTCATGTCCAACGACGACAAGAGCACCGGCATCCTGGCCCAGTCCGCTCAATTCAACGTGGAGTCCAGCGACTCTGCCTCTACTACTGCCTCCTCGTCTTCGACCTCGACTTCTTCTTCATCTTCCTCTTCTGCTTCGTCTGCCTCTTCTACCACCACCAAGGGTAAGACCACCACTGCCAAATCCAGCACATCATCTCCCACAACCACCAACACCCGCAAACACACCACCACCTCTTGCACTCGCACTTCTTCCCATGCTTCTTCTGCATCTCCCTCAACCACTCTTGGTGAGTTCACTCACTTTACAGAAGAGTGTCTGTACTGGTAACTAACATGACTTTGCTTAAAAGGTACCTCCACCGCTGCCAACTCTTCCTCGTCCGCCACCCCCTCGGAAACCATTGTGCCCTCCAACGGTGCTGGCTCGCTTAAAGTCCCCGTTGCGGCCGCTGGCTCTCTCCTCATGGGTCTGTACATGGTGCTGTAAATTGGTTTTGATTCGGTGACTTGTTGGATATGACTACTCGGTTTGGTGTGTGATGTGACGGATTGTTCGATTACCCTTTTCTATTTGTGGATTTGTTTTGATCATATTTTCTCTTTGGCTATGTGATATGATTGATAATAGTGTATAAATGAATTCATTGTATTTTCTGCAAGTCTTTCGCTTTTGGTGCCTGAAACGCCAATCACCATACAAAAAGCCCCAAATCCCGATTTACATCTCCCAGGATCCAAGCATCATCAGATACATTCGAACATACAAACATGGCAACCTACCTCTCCTTCCCAATCCTTGAAGTCCTTGTCAAATCAGTCGAGGACTCTCCCACCTCCGCAAACGTCGTGAAAGCAGCAGCATCAGGCATCCTCAGCCACTACTTCCCCGCATCCAACGGCTTCGCAATCGCCCCAGCCTCACAATCACAATCACAATCACAACCGAGCCGAGATACCCTCACTCTCCGCATCCAGCGCCATCGCCATGGCCCGGGATATTCAGCTCCAAACCCAGATCGCCAAGAACTTGTCGACCACATCGTCACCATCGCCAAAGCCGACTATGACACTGAAACCAACGAGGTTGAAGACTTGTACACTACGTTGAAGGACCTCGAGAATACTCTCGACCACGCCAACACAGAATCCGGGAGATGTTGGGGGTTGATGGTGTATGCTACTACTCTTACGTTCTATGAGTATCATCGGGATTCGCCTGAGGATCGTCGGCTTGTTTTCAGGGGACCGTACCATGTGCGCTGTGATGATTTTGTGATTGATCGGGAGTTGAGATATTTGGCGCGGTCTGATGCTTCGTTTGCTCGGGATAGTGGGAACAAGTGACTCAGAAGAGGTGGGTTTGACGCGAGACTTGGTTATCCAATGTTTTCCGCAGAAATGTTATACAACAATACAATCGCAAATCCATTGAAAAGGGGTATATAATCCAGGTGCACATATAGTACATGCAAGCGTATTTACAATCCAAAACTTGAGGTGGCCGACTTCTTCTGGTGTTCAAATCCAGTTACCCGATTCACCAGGTCCAGATCCTGACCTGGTGGCGGTAGCGCTGATAGCTGGGGATGAGGAATAGCCGTGGTGATTCTCGTTGACGTTTTCTCGGGGTCGGTCCCAGGTGCGGATGTGGCCTTGTCTATGTTAGTTTTGAACGACGATGTGGGTAGGGAAAAATAATACCTTCGAGAGAGGAAGCCATGATGCAGTCTTCTTGGAAGCCTAGCCAGCAGATCGGATCGGATCCAACGATCTTAGACTGCAATCAAGATGTTAGCGTGGCGTATCTAGGGTATACTTCGCGGACGTACCATAATCGGTGGCAATAGACCGGTCCGTGACCTAGGCTCGACCTGATGTCGGACAGTCTGGTCTACGCTATCATGGGTGTCTGATGTGAGCTGAGAATCAGACCTCACGCGGTTCCCTGTGCTATCTGCGCGATGACGGACATGGTGCACACTGGGTGCGACCATACTCGTGCGCTGACGAGGGTTCGCTTGGTGCGCTTTGGGACGGTGCAGCATGCCAACGTTGAAATCCCATAGGAGAAGTCTGCAGTCGTCACCGACGCTTCCGAATCGGTATGTCCTTTCATCGCATCGCCAGGGGTCAAATGCTACCGCGGACACCCAGGAGTTGTGGCCCTGGCATCTTGCGATGATCTTGCGCTCCGGGAATGACCAGATTGTGACCAGATCGTCCTGGCCACCGGTCACGACGTATTTGCCGTCGGGCGACCAGCAAACACAGATCAAGCCACCATAGTAGCTACGGAAGATGTCTAGAACTCTGTGATATGTTAGCGATTCATTCTCACAGCTGATCTCGGCTGACTTACTCTTCCTTCAAGTAATCCATGACTCGCAATGAACCATCTTCAAGAACGACAGCCAGGTGTCGACGGTCAGGCGAGAATGCAAACTGGCAGATCTTATGACCAGCTAACCTCCATAGCGAGACGGGATTGGTCTTTTGGTTCCTCGAGGTGACCGACTTGAGTATTTGCATCGGCTGTCGACCAGATGATTTCACGAATTCCTCTGCGAGACTACCAGGCTCCGAAGTGAGAGGAGCATCTTCCTTCTCTTTATCGTAGACCACCAGCTGTCCGTTTGAATGCGCAGCCATGAACAAGTTTTCCGATCCGGGTATCCATTTGATGTAAGTAACCGGGGAATTGTTGATGCAGCCGTTTTTGTTGATGCGCGCGTAACGTTGCGAAATGGGTTCGTACCAAATAATATCGCCAGCTGATGAACCCATAACGATATCGACGTGACTCGGGCTCTTGGTCATCTCGTTAACGTCGTGACACAACATATGCGCCTTGGTAAAGAGGATCTTGGCGAGGGATTCTTCTTTCTTTTCGGAACTGAGATCCAGCCATTGGAATGCACGATTGATGTTCGCAAAGGCAAAAAGACCATCCGGATTTCGATCGTTCAGTTTCTTCGTAATGGACTCATGGGTGATGACGCGCGAAACAAACGAAGAGCTGCTCTTGATGATATTGTTCTTCGGTTTCCGCCTCTTTAGGGAATCTTTAGTAGCCGGAGGGACAAGCGCAGGGGTTCCTTCTCCAAAAACCGGGGCCATGACGTTCTCTTTCGAAGCAAATGGGTGATTCTTTTTGGCGTTATTGACATTGACCAGAGACAGCTTAACCCCCGACGTTGGCGGTGTTGGACCAGTCGCAAGAGGATTAGGGTTTAGAACAGGCGCCTCGGAAGGATGTGGAGGGGGAGTCGCTAGGTGTAGGTCATCTCTGAGGTGGTATGTTCCTAATCGAACCTATAGTATTAGCGAACCTGTGCCCAGATGCTATACACGTAAGGTTCAGCAGAGTAAACGCTACCTTCTCCCACTTGCAACGGACATCCATCCTCAGGATGGCTGATGACATTGTTCGTTTCGACAACCGGCACTGGCATACCATTTGAAGCCCCAGCTGCATAAGCAACTGGGATGGTATAACGCGGCGGCGGCGGTGGAAGAACACTGCCGTTGAAAGGGTCAGTTAGCAAAGAGAAAAGCCGCTCACAGTATATGAGTACCATCTTGGATAGACTATCACAGTGCTTGATGCTGCCATTCACTGTGGGTGCTGCTTGGACACATTCACAGAATGGGCAAGACAACAGATGACGTCTTGTGAGGGAAGAGGGAATAATCCTTACAACATGATTGCAACCACACTACCAAGAGCCGCCTGTCAAACAGAAATATATCCCCGAGCCTTTATCCAAGACGATACCTCCCAGTATCGACAATAGTCAGGCGAATCTTCCTGCTCCGTCACGCGATCGCAACGGGGTTCCGTTGGCACCTCGCGGTGGTGCTTGGTCGCTATGCTCAGGATCTCTTTCGACGAAAAAAGAATATTATCGGATACGAGAAAACTCCGTGGGGATACGCTTATTATATCGACAGAGGAACAGGCCGTGGCGCGTGGTGGCCAGGTCTAACGTCGTTCGAAGCTCGCTGCGGAGATGGATGGGGCGAAGTCAAGCAGAAGGCAACTCAAGCTGCACGCGTTCCAATGCAATAAGCTGATATACAGAGAGGAAATAAAGATAATTATACGAATCGAACGGTCGAAAGGAGTGTCTAGGGTCAGAAAGCAGGACCAGGAAGTCTGTTAGGGGAAGTTAAGAGAGAAGGACTGGGATACGGAGATTGCACAGGCCCCCGAGACTTTCGGTTCCTGACGGCGGGCGGGGCAAGAGTTCACTTAGAATGTGGAGAAGTAGCAGTACAGGAGAGAATACTACATGCTGTTGTAGTATGGAATATCTGTCTAAAAACCATTGTTTTGGACCTAATGCCCATTATGGTATGTTCTGTGTGTCATCTTGAATACACTGCTATGGAGTGCCCCCGGGCCGCATCCTGAGCTGTCAAGGCGGGTTGGAGCATGGCGTATGGCTCCAACCTCCAATTTCCAGACTAGGAAGATGATTGTCGGCTGTAATATCGATTGTTGTCAAATCTGGAGTCCCGATAGATCACAGCCTACTACGTAATGACGGAGTAATCTTAGCCTGAGTTCATCTCCAATGCACGCGAATTCGTCCTCACAATCTGGCGGTAATAGGGGCCACCAGTTCATGTTCAGTACTTGAATACACCTTGTACTCCATATACCGGTCTCAACTAGCAAGCAATATAGATGAAACGTGAAAGACAATCCCAATGGGTATCTAGATAAGTGCAACTCGAAGCTTCATACTCCACTACCGCTGACTCGCCGCCAGATCATAACCGCAGCAGCCCCCGCACATACTACCGCCCCCAGGGCAATCCCCCAAGCCATCCATTTACCTTCGTCTTCCTCTTCGCTCCGGGGAAACGCGGTGCTGGGCTCCATCGCCGCCTCGGCAATGTGTACGAACACCTCCTGGATAGAACTCCAAGTGGCGCTAACATGGAGCGGTGGACTGGGCATATTCAACAAGGCGGTATATTCGTGTGGCTGGTACTCGGCTCGTTGGGTGGTCCGGTCTAGATCGGCCTTGAGGGCAATGAACACGCTCGGGAGTTCTTCCAGATGTGGATATTTTGCACGCAATGCTGGGATGTAGGCAAAAGAATCGGGGTCCGACGAGTCATAGGTGTATGCGATCACATCGCACTGGTCCAGCTTGGCTTGGTTCTCGAGAATAGCCGGTTCCAGCTCACCTAGTTCATCCAGGATTAGATAGCACTGCTTGCCTCCGGGCAGCTCGACTGTATTCACCGCGGTCCGGGGTTTGATAGTCGGGTGGTAGGTAGGACTGAAGCCGCGTGACAAGAAGGCATCTAGAAGCGCAGACTTGCCGGAACCCGGAGGACCTAGCACATGGCCGAGGACGACATTTCGTCCGACGCGCCCCGGACGCCGTCGACGCTTGCGTGGCCGCGTGACTTTCAACGCCGCGGTCGTTGATGGATTGCTTCGGTCTGACGATTCGAATCCTAGGTAGGCGAGATATTCCAAGGTCGTCTTAGGAGATGTAAAAGTAGTCATACTCCATTGCGCAAGCCACCCTTGAAGAGTGACATGACCCGCTTCGTTGCGGACTGTCGATGAGGGAAATGAGCCATCCGCCCATGAAGCGGGCAAGCCGGGCGTGGGTGCAAACAAGGACGCCAGTTCGGCATCGTTGAGGCCGCCGTCATTGTCTTTGTCTGACAGGAGGAAGAGATTCACGAAGAATCGGTAGCCTTCTGGCGACAATTCTGCAGACCCAAACGGAGGGACCTCGAACCGGGGGTGAAGAAAATTCTCCTGCAGCGAGAGATTGTCGGTATACTGAAACGCCCGCAGGATAATCCAGACAGTTTCATGACGCCCTTTCTCCGCATATAACTTGTTCAAGTGGATGAAGCCCCTGCAATCAACTCCCGACGGGGCCACAGAAGCGGGATACGTCTTCTGGATAGTTTCTTTGATGTGAACCAAATCCTCCTCGCTCAGTGCTTTCTCGAAGCATCTCATTTGGAAATCCTTGATTTCCTTGTCCGAAAGATAGCCATCCCGGTCCTTATCGCTGAGGTAGAAGATGCGTTGCAATGCCGCAACCGCTGCCGGCTTCAGAGACGACTCCTTCGAATCGAACAACGGTGCAATCGGGTGGGTAACCGCCTTCTGACAGAGGAAGAAAGCCTCGTTGACATTGCGGTGTTCCCGAGCACTAGCCCTGATGCACGAGTCTATCTCCTTGAACTCGGCCATCAACGGCAGCATTTCATCCTCAATGACCTGTGTTTCACTGTGGTCCGATCCGAGATCCGCCTTGTGAGCGCACAGCACCACAGGCACGTTAACCCCCAGAGACCGGAAGTATGGTAACCAGAATAGCGCCACTCTTTCATAACTGTAATGATCTGAGTATACCAGCAAAATCACATTTGCTTTGCGAATCTCCCTTGCCAGACTGCTGCGCTCGTGCGGTAGGGCGGAGCTGTCGACCACCGTCGTTGTCGTGACATTCTCCGGAGTTCCAATGGTAGGAGGGATCGTGATCTGGGGTAGGATAGGCTGGATCTTGTGAGTCACAAACACACCCTTCACCAGGGATGTGATGAGACTGGACTTGCCAGTGCCTTCATCCCCACAGACGCAGATTCGCACTGGATAAAGAGTCCGATGGTTAGTTTGTTGTTGTGAGTCGGGGGAGTTGGTTTTCAAGCTTGGACCGAACCTGTAGCCATTTTCAACAGTTTAGAAGTAGGCAATTAGAAGCATCTCTTTTCATAACATCGTTGAATCCATTGTCCTGCTATATGCCAATGACTTGAAACAGGGATGGGTTTTGGATTCAGGCCGTAATGCGCGGAGTCGATGTCATTATGTACGGTGTGGCTGGAACCCGGAGCTTGGTTGTGGCGGTGCTGTCTGTTTAGGCCTCAGGTGTCTACAATTTTGACACTCAGAACTCTGACTCGAGTAAAAATACCAACAACTGCCAGACGTTATTAGCCTCGATATCAGATTTGCAATCAATACTCCGTAGAGGAGGGGCAAACGAAGATTCTGGATAGCTACACGAGCAAACGCTACTCCAGACTCTTGGTTCCTGCTCAGCCACAATAACACTTTATTTTACTAAATCCCAGCCTTGTCTTTTTGATATTTTCGTTTTCACATACTCCATACTCCGGAGTGTTCGGAATACATCACAGACAGTATAAGCAACAGATTAAATATAAATACTTCCTTCTACATATATCTTTTAGATCTTGAAGAGTCTCCTCATACTTTGTATACCACTATAGCTGGGTGGTGTTCGGACCTGTCAGCCGTTAAGTCAATCTATCCCACTTCCGGTCGCCCCCCTCGACGGTGCCGGCGCGAACTCCATCGCAACCGTTTTTATTATCACCTCTTGCCTTTCTTTTCTCTTATCTTTCCCTACCTCTTACTACTGCTCACCTTTCTTCCTCTCTACACCCTGAGCAGCGCCAAAATGCCTCTCGGGATACACAATCCGCTTCCTTCGTCTTTGAGCAGTACGTACCTGTCCCGGTCCCATCCACCTTCCCCGCAAATCGACTGAGATGACATGAGCTGACTACGTTCCGTTTAACCAGGTGAATGCAAGAAGGCAGGCAAGATTCTCGCTTCCTTTATTGATCCAAAGCAAGCATTTGGTCCTGATAAAGTCATTCCTCCGGAAATTCTTGCCAATGCAAAGGTGAGCTTGAACTCCCGTTTTCCCTCGTTATTGCTCTAACATGCGCATCCTTGGGCCTAACTGACAGTCACATCTATAGGGTCTCGCAATTCTTACGGTTCTGAAAGCCGGTTTCTTGGGTTCTGGTCGTTTTGGATCGGGAGTCGTTATCGCCCGTCTGGCAGATGGCACCTGGTCCGCCCCGTCTGCTATCGCGACCGCGGGTGCCGGGTTTGGAGGTCAAATTGGATTCGAGTTGACAGACTTTGTTTTCATTCTAAACGATGCGGCTGCGGTCAGGACATTTTCGCAAGTCGGGACTTTGACTCTGGGTGGTAATGTGTCAATCGCCGCAGGACCCGTCGGGCGAAATGCGGAAGCTGCGGGTGCCGCCAGCACCAAGGGAGTCGCAGGTGTTTTCTCCTACTCGAAGACGAAGGGTCTTTTCGCCGGTGTCAGTTTGGAAGGTAGCATGTTGGTGGAACGCAAGGATGCCAACGAGAAGCTCTACAGCAGCCGGGTTTCTGCGCGTCAGCTCTTGAGTGGTTCCATTCGACCGCCGCCGTCTGCAGCCCCCCTCATGGGCATCTTGAACTCGCGTGCCTTTGCCGGCAATAATCGCATGTACGGTGATGAAATGTACAACGACATTCCGGTTTACGATCAGTCCCATGACGATGTTCTGTGGGAGGGCCGCAGAGGCACCGCGTATGGTGAAGGCGTTCAACAACAACGATCTCGGCCTAGGATTGGCATGCGGAACAAAGACGGTATGGATGACTATGAGTATCGCGACCGACCTCGCCGTGCGAACACATGGGCCGACGAGGGCTATGACCGTCCTATGGGAGCAGGCGGCCTAGACCGGAGTTACACCACTCGATCTCCCGCACATGACTCCTACAGCCGCAGTCGCAGCAACACTGCACCATTCGAAGAGGACTACGTTTACTCGGACCGGAAACCCACCCGGCCCACGGCACCAAAACCGGTCTTTGGGCAGAAGACTGGAGCGGCTCCGGCACTGCGACAGGACCAAGCAATTGCCCTATACACCTTTGATGCGGATCAAGAAGGTGATTTGGGATTCAGGAAGGGCGATATCATCACGATCCTTAAGCGGACAGATAAGTCGGAGGATTGGTGGACGGGACGCATTGGGGACCGGGTCGGCATTTTTCCCAGGTAAGCACCTTTCCGCACTATGCTGTATATTCATGAGCCATTACTAACGAGGGGTTTAGCAACTACGTCGACGCATCTTAAATGCGCTGTCTATGCTTTCGAAATGATACTAATGAACCTTTTTTTTTTTTTTTTTTTTTTTTGTTGTTCGATTTTCATAGGATCATGGCGCTGGGTTGAGTTATCTGTATTGAGCAGGAAAATTCTCCGGCAGTTATTGTTTTGTGCTTACCACTGAGCGTTTTTTGAGTATAAGACTAAGAGTTCTCTCGTTTTCCCATGTGGTTTAATTTTGGAAGTTAGAAATTCGAAGGGCATAACAACCCTACGTGATACAGCATCAAAGTCTCCTTGATCATGCATATTCAACGATAAAACAAAAAGAAAAGGGAAAGAAACAGCAATAAGTATTCCTTAGTAAGGAATGGCAAACTAACTTATATATTAATAAAAAGGGAAGTAAGCGCGTGCGAAGTACTAAGGTGATGGCGGTCACCAGCCACAGCGAAGCATGACCCAAGGGCTAATCCGGCATACCGTGATGTTGCAATAATTGTTGCAGAACAGGTTGCAGAAAAGAAATTGTCGGATGAAATTCCCAGCCGGAAGAATTCGAGAAAATGATCCAGACCAGTCCGAGGAATTCCGCCGGGACCTCCAGCTGAGCTGAGCTGAAGATACTAGTAGGGAATAGTTACTCCCTCCGGAGCCCGGAGGAGGCCAGCACCAGGAACGACCTGCGCTGCACAAACAAAAATAAACGAACCAGAATCGATCGTTGCTTTTTAATTGACCGATTCGAAGAAAAATAGAAAAAAAAGAAAATCGACGAATCTCAGATCTCTTGGCTGGTGGCTCCAAAACGAGTCAGGCTCTCTTTTTACCCTCCGCCCAAAACCCCATCGTTCCATTCTCCGTCCTTCTTTCTCTCCCCTTCCCTCCTCTGCCTCCACCACCACCGACCATCTCTTCTTCCTTTTCCCTTTCTTTTTCTCTCCCTCCTCATCCTATATCTACTTTACTTTTTAATATAGGGAAGACAAACCCACCTGGTCAGCAACAGGCGCCGGATGCCTAGCTTTCAACTCCGTTCCCTTTCCTTCGTTCCCGTGGATGTGCCTCGCCGTCGACTCGTGTTCCCCGCTTCGATGACCCTTCTCCTTCGTTGTCTTCCGGCCCAGGTGGTACATTGACCTCCCCCGATCTCGAGCGAGCATCCTGCTGCCCCTCCCCGTCAATCTCGCCGATTTCTCGCATATCTTCGTCCTCTAGCGTGTTCGATTCCGGTTCTGTTTGTTCTCTCTAATGCAGGTACGATCACTTTTGTTAAACTTTCCGGTTCCTTGTCACCACACACACACACACACACACACACACATACACACACATACACACACCCCTTCCCTATACTTGCAACCCGTGGTCCGGTGTGTCTGTCCATGGCAGAGAAGGATTAGACCACAAAGAGCCATCATAATCTCCACGGATGCGAAGAAACTCTGTCTCACCAGTTCTTTGTCTCAATAGGATTCTTCAACGAGCGCCGCTGAAGCTGGCGGAGGATATGCAACGCGGAGAGGCCACGGGCCTCACCTGTCGATTAGTGACCCGAGTCATCATGTCACCGAGGCCATTGGACACATGTACGACGATGATGAATACGATAAACGGGATTCGAGACGCCTTAGCTACATTTCCTCCCCGCTGAGCGAATCCATTTCGACAATTCACCCTGACCTCGCTGGATCAGCATCCCCAACCTCCCCCCAATCAATGCAGCTGCAAAGCCACCTGAACGAAGTCACTACTCAGCGGCAGGTAAATGGACCGCCTCGACCGCCGCCCCTTGTCACCCGCAAGTCTTTTGACCGGGAGAGCAGCCCGGGGTCTCCCGGGTCCTCCAAGACCGACACCGCGACGACATCCTTTCCCCTCAACGATGTCGATTACGAATCCAACCCAGCAGCCGTGGCTCAGGAATTAAATAATTTGGCAGCCATCCGCCGCATGTCCATGGATGCGGTAGCGACCAGCGATCCCGACCTTCCCGACTTCTCCCCCTCCGTGGCCTCTCCCTCCGATGACGAAAATGATGCCTCGGGGCTATTCTGGGTCCCAGCCCGCTTGCACCCTGAACTCGCGCCCATGGAGTTTCGATCATTCCTTGAAAGCAGGTCGGAACGCATTAAGCGCAGATCTACCGACTTTGCGAGCTTGAGTCCGGAGGGTCCGGGATCTGGGAGCGGATTACGGCGCAAGCGGTCGATGCTATCGAGGGAGATTGATAATTCTCATGGTTATACGGACGGGGCAGAGCGGTTGGAACGGAAACGATCCCAGTCGAAACAGGATGCTATGAGCCCTAACCTGCTTGAACTAGAGTCCCTGGTGGATGATTCAAAACAATCAAATAAGTTGTCCCTGGATGGCATGCAAGGTCTTTCCATTAGCGCCGACGAAGACAAACCAATCTTGCCTCCCATGCCACAGGCCCCCGGCCTTCGTCGGTCGACCCGAACGCAGTATAGAAAAGCCGGTAGCGTGAAAAAAGGGGATCGGCCTCGAAGGTTCGGCAAGTCATCCGAATCAGGTCAGTCGGTGCCGTCGATTATTACGTCGCCCGCCGATCGACCAATCCTGGGCCTCACGCGGGTTTCGACCGATCCTACTCCTTCTGTCACACGCGGCCAGGCAAAGTCCAAATCACCCCCAACTACTCCCGCGCAGGAGCCCACTTCCAGCTCCAGCTCTACCCCTGCCACAGCTTGTTCCCAACCGCCGCCAGAGAGCAGCGCACAAGCCCAGACCCATGCGACAGAGTCTGGCAAACCTTCGCAATCCCGACAAGGACAATCTCGTGTCGATTCCAATGGACGGTCAAGTCCTGAGCGAAAAGTTTCAGCGGCTGTGGAAACACCGCCTGCTAATAATAATCGGGCTGCTAGCCAGACCTCGCAACAACAAAGAAAATCTTCCGGACGAGGATCCGATTCCTCATCGAGTCTTCTACCAAGAAAGAGCTCAGCTCAAAAACACGGCAAAGACAACACGTCAAACCTCAACGATTTTGCCAACAGCCCGCAAGCGCTCCCTGGAAACACCACTCGGACCGATAGCCTCTCCTTCATTCCCACCTTCTCGGACGACCGTAAATCAGAAAGCAAGTCAGAAAGCAAGAAGTCGAAAGAAAGAAAGGATTCCGAGGGTGGCAGCCGGAAATCAAGCTGGCACTGGCTACTAGGTACGGAAGAGAAGGACAAGGATAAAGAAAAGAAGAAGGACAAGGACAGCGATGCCAAGAGGATAAAATCCAAATTCGTCGACAAAGTCCAGGATAGCACCAATTCCCATCATTCCTCCAACGATAGTAGTAATCAACCACGGCGCGAGAGCTTTGCCATGGACCGGCCCGATCTTAAATTGGATGACGACCGGAAAAAAGACAACACGAGGAGGTCTTCTGGAGAATCAAAGAAGGAGAAGGAATCCGGTCTATTTTCATCTATATTTGGTGGTGGGAGGAAAAAGCACAACAGCAGCGACAGTCATCACAAGAAAAGCTTATCCCGGAACTTCTCACCCGATCCTCCTGTTCGCGAACTTCAACCAGACGTCGACTATCCGTGGACCCGGTTTCCGATCCTCGAGGAACGAGCTATCTACAGGATGGCGCATATCAAGCTGGCAAACCCGCGACGGGCTCTGCACTCCCAAGTTCTTCTCAGCAACTTTATGTATTCGTATCTGGCCAAGGTGCAACAGATGCATCCGCATATGACGCTAGTCACGTCTGCAACTCAAAGACAACAACAACAGGCAAGGGAGCGGCAAGAGGAGGAATATCAACAACAATACCAGCGATACCAAGAGGTAAGTTCTTGAGTTTTTTGTAAATCTTCCTGCGCAGGTGTGTTAACGAGCATACCCAGTCACAACAATACGGTGACGGTTATGAGGATTCTCAAGCGTACGACTACGGCGATGATTCGCATGACCACTACGGGTCACAATCAAGCGGCTATCAGAACGGCGATGGCTATGGATCCGGGTATTATAATCATTATGGGCATTCAGCATTCGGTGATGATGCCCAACTCGACGACGACGACGATAACGACATGTGGTGACAATGAAAAAAAGACTTTCGATTCTTTTACTACTATTGATCCTTGGTCCTCTCAAAAAACAATACCCCATTTTATGCATCTCGACTTCGGTCCCCTGACGAACTTGTACCCTGCTTTTTCTACTTGTATATGTCAACTGTTATATTATAACACCCCTTTGGATGTCTAAACGATACCAGGGCCTGTTGTCAATACCTATGAGATGATGATATTGTTGGGCCTGTCTTGTGATTTGCCATTTATGGTCTTTTTGCACATTGATTTTGATTTTCCTGCATAGCGTCTGGGGTTTTCTTTTTCATCTTCTTTTTCATGTTCATTTGGTTGCACTTTCAAGTCCATATACCTTATGATACATCTCTATGCTTGCACTTTGACCTACATAATAGAATAGTGACCTCACCCGAAGTTCGGCAGGTGCTTTTTTTTTTTTTTTTTTTTTTTTTTTTCGTTTCCTAGGTACATAGTATAGCATAATAAAATGATAATGTAAACATTTACAATTGGCTTTTCTGCTGTGAGTGTGACCTTGGTTCAGCCATAGAACTTGTTCAAGATCCCCGGATAATGTCACGTGTTCGCCATCCCCGGTCCGCGTCATCGTCATCGCTTCATTCCTCCAGTGACACCTTGCTACGGGACGGGAACCATATTTTATCGCGATAATTTTCTTGGACGTCGAACAGCTTATCAATCCTCTAGAGACTTATCAAACGAACAATCGAGCGCAAAGGAAGACGGCAAAATGAGCGAAGCCTATGAACGGGAACAGTACGTCCCCCTTTTCCTCAACAACCCGTTGTCGTTATACCGGTCGTCAGTAACTAACAAACGAATCCAGACAAAACAATGCTCTCCTCAACTCCCTCTCCAGCAAAGTATCAGCCCTCAAATCGGTGACGATTGATATCCACGATAACGCCCATGATCACAACACACTTGACCACTCGGTTGGTCTTCTTTCCCTTCTTAGCGCTAGGACATAAACTAACCGCTATATTGTGATAGAATGAAGTCTTCTCCTCGTTCTCATCGAACCTCCGCGGCAGCGCGAGCCGGTTAACACGGATGGCAAAGCAGGGGGATACCGTTGCAGTGCTGAAAGTGGCGGGGATTGTGGCAGCAGTCGGGTTGGCGATCTGGGTGATTCTGGGATGGGTTTTCTAAATCGCTCGACACACGAATAAGGGTCTGTTATCTGCTGGTGTCCGGTGTTTGTGGTGATACTAGTGCCGTACATATTATGTCTCGCTGGTTCGAGGCTACATAATCGCCTACTGTGTATTCGTTCCGGGTTGTCCGTTTCCCCGCGCCATGGCCCTTCCCTCCCTGCTGGTCGATCTGGTCTCGTTCGCTCTATCTGTCCTCGCCCAGCCCCGGTCGCGTGCCGTCGTCTGCCTTATGGCTTATGGCTTACGTCGTTTGCTCTTGGCGGTTTGCTGCTGAGGGGTGTTGGTTGCATATTGGGATGCGGGGATTGGGCTGATCGGCTTGCTTGTCTAATGTACCTTTCTGGTTGTCTATACATAATTGTTTTAATGGCTTCGGATATTCCGAGCAGCATGGTTTTTACGTTTTTATTGGGTGTGGATGGAGATGGAGATTCTCGGGTACCTTGTTAGTGGTGCTGGGTTGCATAGTAAATATGCATTCTCAATCTTCTACAATCCAAAATACCCTGGTCTTGAGAGACTAGATCAGTATCATATCATAGCTCCCTGTCAATACTAACAAGTGCAAATACAACCACTGTCCAAAGCCCACTGTAAAAAAAGTCCTGACAGACCGGAGACATGCCGTCCGATGATCTACAACCCGAAGCGGATCTCACAAAAAAAACCTTCACCATGAGGTGGGAACAACCACATTCATTGGACTGAAAGTCTTCAGAGCCTTGCAAGGTACGAAAGCAACAGTAAAATAGTAAAGCAATAGAGTAATAGAGTACCCCTGGAGATGGCAGTGGCAAATTCCATAATTTTAATAGTAGAAGGTACGTACAAGATGCTATTTGGAGTCGCCGGTGTACGGAGCAAGAGCCGTCGTGTTGTTATTCTTATATGGTTATTCTATCCCGTACCAAGAGCACGGACAGATAGCAATCCGGTTTTTCTTCTTTGTAGGTATGTACCTTGGGGCCGGCTTGCCGGCTGGCTAAGACCGGAGGACTGCGTACCGATAAGTTTTATATAGCCAACAATGGCGACATTGGTTTCAAAGAAAAGAGTGCACGGAGTACAGCATTGCCCCAACGGCCCGAAGATAAAGTCGCCCTAAACGCGGGAACGAGAGGAAAAAAAAAAAAAAAAAAAAAAAAAATTAAATTAAATTAAATTCTTCAGGCTTAGTTTAAACTATTCCGTACAGGGAGAAGGAAAAGATAGGGTTGCGCGATCTTATAGGGTAATAAAATCTACGGAGCAGGGTGAATCAGCCCCATCAAGTTACGGAGGCGTGTTCCGTAGTCCGTTGAAAGGCTCAGACCCGGCATGCCGATGCGATGCGATGGTTGATGGAGGGAAGAAGCCGGACGGGAGAGATGCCGAGTGGATGGTGTTGGCTTGTTGTTATCGTGAAGGCCGATAGTGATAGTGTGATACGAGGTAAAATACTGCTAGTATTTTGCATAATGGCACAAGCTCAGCTGTCAATGTCAGATGGTGAATTGTGGATTGGATATCATCTCTGGTAAATACTCCGACCGAATGCTTGGCCCACGAAAATCATCGAAGCCAAGGATCGGACTATCTCCTTGTGAAGATTTCTGGAAAGTGACTCACCGTATTGTTAGGGACCTGCTTGATTGGGATTTTTCGGATAAACCATACAGGATTCTTATTTGTACAGCCTTCTGTTCTAGTACTCTTGAGTATGCAGTATCCTTGGTATAAGAGACTGGTATGGCGCATGGGTTAGATCATATCATGCGCTTGCGTCAACGGTCGTGTTCTAGATGTCTCGTGCCAGGGCTCTCACTGATATCACACTGGTCTTACAACAGAATACTCAATCAATCTCTGTCCAGGTACAATTATTCTTAGTGAGAGCTGCCGAATTCCGGAATCACAGTCCCGGGATGATCCCCCCTCCCGAAACCGCCCGTGCGAACGGTCTTCTCTCCGAGGTTATTCCATTGCATGTATCAGAGTACTACGAGTACAGCTGAGCCGAGAAAAGGAGGTCTACAAGTACTGCAATGGGCAGGTCCAAGATGCATGTATCTGCATTGTGTGCGTCGTAATCTCATGGTTGTTTGGTGTGTGCGTACAAGAAAGTACCTGAACACATGGAACCAGACGAAATCCCAGCAATCACACCATCAATCCACGGAGATATGATACAAGCACGTCGATCATGAAACTCAGCCCTGATTGTTTTGCAAATCAGGAATTGAATTTACGATGTAAAGGAGACATCATAGCTTTGTATGATCCAGGGTACAGCGATATGCAGTGTGACATGGCTGCATATAGACCTTTCTACACTCTATTCCATACTACAGAAGACCGTAGTTCCTGTAGATCATGGTGGGATGAAAATTCAGAAAACAAGCGGACGAGTAATTAACCAAAAGGCAAAAGTCACAATACGCGTAACCGTTTTTTAGCACCCTAAAAAGGAAAAGAAAAAATTGATCTGGCCGTGGGATCTGCTTTTCTTTTTTGATTATTTTTTATTTTAATTTTATTATTATTCCATGGATTGCGCAGAGTATATCATATGATTGAATCTCTTTCTTCTTTTCTTCCTTCTCTTTCATCATTTTCATTGTTCTGCTCGCCACTCTCGGTTCTTCTCCAACGACCATTCCCATTGCGGGTAACATTTTTCTATCTCCCTCTCTCCTACACTCGCTTTCACTGCGCTTTATCTCGCTGTCGCTTCTTCTCGTCGACTCCCTCGTTCATTCGATCGCGTGTCTATTCGTATTGCTCCGGCGGTGCCCCTCCCCCTTATCAGTGACTATACTGTAACGTTCGATCAGCTGCCCGCAGCTGTTGTCGTCATCACCACCATGGCGTTCAGTCTCTTTGGAAACAGAGAGAGCGCTAGTTACGCCAAATACTTCAACATCCGGTGAGTTGATTGCTTATCGCTTTATCGGCCGCAATCACGCACAATTGCGACAGAATGCTGACTCTGTTATCGCTTAGATTGGACGAAGATTACATTGTCTTCCGCGGAAGCGAACATGAAGCCGCCAGCGCCCATCTCACCGGTCGTCTTTTGCTCTGTCTCTCAGAACCCCTCACTATCAAACATCTCCGGTTACATTTAACGGGAATTTCGCGTGTCTGGTGAGTTATACAATTCCTGCACCCTGCAGTTTTACTTTGTTATTCTGTGACACTAATGCGTCGCAGTTGGCATCTTCCATCGTCTTCCGCCGGCGGCGGCCGGAAGAACTGGAGGGAAAAGTCATTCTACGAAAAGACATGGCGATTCAGGGAACCCGGTAAAGGCAAGACCGAAACACTCCGCGCCGGCAATTACGAATACCCCTTCGATGTCGTCCTCGAGGGCTCTCTGCCGGAGAGCATTGAGGGGTTGACCGATACATATGTGACGTACCGGTTCAAGGCGGAGATCAATCGAAAATATGCGAAGGATATTGTTGTTCGCAAGCCGCTACGGATCATCCGGACATTGGAACCCAGCGCGCTTGAGCTTGCGCATGCAATGGTGAGCTTTTATTCTATTGCATTGAATTGGTGGACAGTCTGCTAACTGTTAAATTCTTCAGTCGGTGGAAAACATTTGGCCGAACAAGATCGAATACTCGATTACCACACCCACGAAAGCCGTCATTTTCGGTACCAATATCCAAATCGAATTCAAATTAATACCCCTCCTTAAAGGTCTCCGCATTGGACAAATTGTCTCGCAACTTGTCGAGACTCACGATCTCACCCTCAACCCCGACGACCCCGAATCCTTCCGCAATTCGTACAAGAACACAAGGACAATTGTCAGCGACGAGCATGAGTTTGATCCGGACAACGACCTGGAAATCCTTGACGAGTCTGTCGAAGGCTATCAATTCTCGCGCAATCTCGTTCTGCCCAAGACCCTTGCGAAGTGTCTGCAAGATACGGACACTAGAGGCATTAAGATCCGGCACAAGCTCAAGTTCCGACTCCAGCTTCATAATCCCGATGGTCATGTTAGCGAGGTAAGTGACATGTCATTCTAAGAAAAGAAGAAAGTTTCTAACTCGTGCAGCTACGCGCGACGCTCCCTGTTTCGGTCTATATCTCCCCCAACCTGCCCTTCGACGACGAGAACAACCTGGTCGACCAAAGCCCTCAAATGGCGGAGAGGGCTATCCAAGATAGCGCTCGACAAGCACCCCCGTTGTACGGCGAGCACCAGTTCGATCAGCTCTACAGCGATGTCGATCCCAGTGGTTACCGGACCCCTGGTCCGATGAGTAGCCCGGGTACGCCATTTGGCTCGCTCAGTCGCAACTTGTCAGCGGAAAACCTAGCTTCGATGAATGCTTTGACCAACAGCGATATCTCTGCGTCGGCTTTGCACCATCGTCTGGCAAACCTCCGCGCCAACCGACTCAGTCAGGTCAGCCATCTCACGCCGTCAGAGCCGGAGAACCACCATGACTCGCGATTAGGTGTTCCTCAAGATTACTTTGGTCCTTCGTCCGGGTCGACCTCTCACACTCCGGCAAGTCCCGTGCTGTCCCGACGGGCTTCTGACGAGGGTGAGCACGAGCACTTCCACCACCCGATTCCGTCGGGCATGGCTACGCCGTTCCATCCTCACTCTTCAGAGCTCGAGACCCTGAGTCGCGTTCCCAGTTACGACACGGCCATGCGGTCAAACATACATCTACGGAGACACGATCCCCTTCCCGACTACAACACCGTGGTTGCTAGCGACGTTCACACCCCAACCCCTCCGCAATCGCCGCAGCGGGCATACGTTCGGGATTCGGCTCGCGGGTCGTCGGAAAACCAATGTCCGACGCTGGAGGTGCCACAACGACCTCTATTCCAATCTCGCTCACCCAGCCAGATGGATGATGCGGACCGCAACCTGCGCGTCTTTCAGGCTCGGGCCTAAAATTTTATACATCTACCTAATATGCATCATTCTGTGGAGCCTACCCAGGAGGTTCACTCTGATTTCACCAGCATGAGGATGCGGGTCATCTTCACATGATTAGACGGAAGGAATTCTCCTCTTCATTATCTCTCCATTTACGTTTTTGGGATTGGCGTTCTACCATATAGACGGATATTTTGAAATTTTGGTTTAAGGGGTCGGGTTTGGTTTCGGATGACGGGAACGATACAACGCCAGCAGTGCATACATTGACTGGCCCGCATGAGTTACGTTTTTTTTTTTTTTTTTTTAATGTATTTTCATCACGCATCTGCGAAAAACTTGATGACAGCACATCTCTCACCTCATTTCTCTAGCATAGCATTGGGATCTCTGTACATGAATCGAGACTACTTCTTCGCTTCCTACTCTATATGCCGTATTCTGCGTATCGTATCTGTAGAGATCGAATACTATGGCATCACCATGGCTGTAATTAAGGGGCTAACCCAAACAGGAAATTGAGGCATCACCCCGCCCTAATTGGTCCTACAATAGTATCATGTGATCCGGGACCCTGATCGACTGGCGATTGGCCAATTCATTGGAGTGTGGCGCAGCAGCTAGACTGGGCCCATGGATCACAGTGTGGATTTATGGACAGTATGGACAGTATGGACAATCGGGTTATTGGGAACCCAAAATGCTCGGAATTTGGGATTTGAAATTGGACAGTGGCCAATGAGTGTCCCCGGAGTTAGGAATATGTGCCTGGATATCCCACACTACACTTTTACACTCTATGGAGGGGTTGTGGAGAGAAAATGGTAAGAAGTGACCTCATCGGTCGGTCGATCGGTGCCCAAGTGTTGAATCGGTGCAGTATTTATTGGGCTTGAGTCTGCTTTGATCTTGTGTTCTTTTATCTGTCCAAGTGCCATCTTTGATATCTTTTACGGAGTATTTAATTTAATATCCTTATTTCTCTTCTTCTCCTCTGATCTAAGCGCTTTCCCCGCCTACCATTGGCACTAGTCCCCCTCATCGCGGCTAGCGGTTAATTGGCATCTTCTTTGCACTTCAGCCGGTCTTCTTCTCTTCTTCTCTTCTCTATCTCCCTTTAATCATCTTTAATCTTTCTCGTCTTCTGATTTATCTACAAAAGCATTCAAAATGGCCACCCCTACCAGTCCCACGGCTACCCTCCCCACCCGTTCCTCGACTATCCGCAGCACCGCTACCGACACGGCTACTCGTCGGACATCCGTGAGTGATGACGAGGCCATCCCGGACTCGGACAGCAGTGAGGTATGTTTCGGATGAAAAGGGAAGGGGTATAAGGGAATTGACTAATTGTTTGAGGAAGACGACAAACCTCCTCGTCGAACGTCTCCGGGCTTGGAAGCACATGTGCGGATACTTGGAGGATTATGTTAGTGTGACGGCCAAGGTGCAGAAGTCGCAGTCGAAGGACTATGAGAAGATTCTCAAGGTGTGTACCTGATTTATATCTTGATAAACTCGTGACTGTGGACAGTGGCTGATGAACGATAGTCCGTTAGCGACCCCTTGAAAGAGGGACACCACTTCTCTCAGAGCACCGGCGGTATTGCGAGCCTGTTGGAGAACATCCGGGCCAACACTCAGGGAATTGTGAACATGCACTTGGACACCGAGAAGAACCTCAAGGGCTCTATCCTCCCCGTTCTCGAGCGTCTGCATAAGGAAATCAAGGCCAAGGGGAAGGAGGTGCAGAGCGGTGCGTCCAAGGGTGCCAAGGCTGTCGACAAGGCTCGCGGTGTCACGCAGAAGCATATCGAGCTGCTGGCTCAGCAGGTGGCATCTTTTGATTCGGCGGCTGGAAACAAGTTTGATCATTATCACGACCCCTACCTGCTGCGTCGGGGGGTCAACCACCGCCTGAACAAACAGGTCATCGAGGAGAACAACAACCGTCAGGACATCATCGCGGTGCAGAACAACTTTCAGCAGTTTGAAGCACACGTCATCCAGACTGCCCAGGGCGCTCTGGAACAGTTCTTCACATTCATGGGCGGCCAGCTGGACCGCCAGAAGAACATGTACGCCGACATCCTGGGCTCCGCCCAGCGCGTGCCCCCAGACTTCGAATGGGTCAACTTCATGACCCGCAACGACCACGTCCTCGTGAACCCTGACTCCCCGCCCCGCTCCCTCTCCAATATCAACTTCCCCAACCAAGACCACCGCGCCACAAATGCCCTCATCGAGGGCTCGCTCGAACGCAAGTCCCGCGCCATGATCAAGGGCTACAACTCAGGCTACTACGTCGTGTCCCCGGCGCGCTACCTCCACGAATTCAAAGATGATGACGACTTCCGCCGCGACCCCGCCCCCGAACTCTCCCTTCACCTTCCCGACTGCGTCATCGGCGCCATCGATGGCACCAAGTTCAGCGTCAAGGGCAAAGATGTATCCGGCAGCAAGGTCGGAAACGCCTTCCACACCACCACCGAACTCCAATTCAAGGCCCACACCCCCTCCGACGCAGAGAAATGGTGGACAGTCATCAAGGACGCTTCCCGCGGCCCTACCCATGTCAATACCTCCGCCAGCACAACCAGCACCCCTGCTTCCCCCGCCGTAACGACGCCCGCTACCCCCGCTGCTGAAAGCAGTGCCGCTGCTGCTACCCCTGCGGAGAACCACCCGCCCGCCTACAGCGAGAAGAACGGCGAGCAAGCCGGTGCTGCCGCTGCTACTCCCTCGCTCGACACCAAGGCTGCCACGGAGTCTCAGGCTCCAGCCCAGACGCCCACCTCGCCGGCTCCTACTACCGGCTCTGGTAATGGACATTTCCACATGGGTCCTGGGGGTAGCGCTGTTGGTGAGGGTGAGAAGAAGGCTTGATTTTCTTTTTTTGTGTTTTTTTTGTGTGTGTATGGTTTTTTTTTTTTTTTTTTTTTTTTCCTTTTCTTTTCTTTTCTCTGTTGATATACGACTATACACGACTTGTTTTGCATATGCTTTGGTCGTTGGTTGATTCATTTCGCCAGTTTATATGGTTTAATAATTTGTATTTAATTTGAGTCAAAAGCCAGTGACATGCACATATTTTCTCTGATTTACCATAAATATAATAGAGGGTAGAATCCAGCATTTGAACATCACGGAATTCTCCAGCATAGCCTCTTTAATCATCTGCGCCATAGCTTTTGATTGCTCAAGATGCTCATTGTCAGGAACCCACTCCACAGAATCTATACCAATTATCTCCCTAATTCCAGCAAGCTCCTGGAGCACTTCATCTACCTGCTTAAGTTCATTCTTGCACTGTGATATCTCTTGCACCGAGTACTTCACCAGATACTCAACCAGGCCCGAGCAATTGCCATTATCAACAACCATACGCCTGGTGGACCATCTGATGAAAGTATTTACTGTGGCAATTCTAAGAGGCAGAGAGTTCCCTTCCCAGAGGATATTCCGACACGCCTGAATGGCTCATGTATCTGTATTTGATCAGACCATTGTTGGGCCAGCTGTGAAATATGTAATTATTGTACTTGTACCAAGAACATTGGCAGAACCAGACCTCGATCTATCGGAGAATAACGACGGGCAAGCACGAGTACATGAGACGATGTGGCGCATTGCGTAGAGCCCTCAAAAAACAAGGCCACTTTAATGCTCTGAGTAACGAAATGCCGATGCGCCGAGCTCAGTGATGGAACTGCAAAGCCTCTCTGGTATAGTATAAGCTTCCACTTGCATGAATCGGTATGCTCATTGTGGTCTCTGCCAGATCAATGATAGACCAAGCGACATCGTCTTTTCTGTGCGCATATTGCTTTCAGTCTCTTTCTGCCACCACCAGTCTTCCCTGACTAAGCATATGATTCAATAACTAGTTAACTAACTAGTGGTTTATTTCCTTTTACAAGCAGTCCATTGACATGGTCCATCTTGAACTATTTCATCCCAGAGGCCTAGCACTCTCAAATCCAGGGTGCAAAAGGATGGAGAGGAAGATTGGCTACATGAAAAAAGAGAGCAACAAAAAAAAACTTGCTGGTAGAAAGGACAGCCTCTCCAGTAATCAACCCCTGGGAAATGATGTATTTAGAAAGGGATTGTTCAAGGACTCCCTTCACATACGTGCAGACATGATAGACGGCTACCTGACCAAACCAATAGAGAATGAAAGATAGACAGGTATACATGCGTTATTCAATCATAACCATAAGCACTTGGTGTTTATATCAACCACCGAGTTAACAAGTCATTCCTTTCGTTACCAACGCCAATCCAAAGATACACAGTATGATAGAAAAGAGTGGAAGTAATATATAGACAACACAGAGAAAAAGTTAAAAGACACAGCACACATAAAACACGTGTAGAGTGGGGTAAAAAGGCTAAAAATCATCCGGACTCTCCAAATCCGCCAACTTCTGACCCAAGAATTTCCCCAGTGCAGCAGATTTCGACTCTAGTGCCAACAGGATGGCAGGGGAAGCGGATAGATTCAGGCTTTCGAGACGGGCGAGGTCGGAACTGCGGTCGATTTGGTATTGTGTTTCGAGGTTGACGGTTAGGGCGTCCGCGTTTGTAGTGGTGTTGTTGTTATTGTCTAGTGTAGTAGTATCCGCGGTGTGGAGATTGTTTGATGGCCCGTTTCTAATGAGTCCATTGTCGTTGATATCGTCATTTTGTGGTTGCGGCAATTTCGATGGTCCGATAGCTGCTAAGAGAACCTTGTCGGCGATACGAGTGACAACAGCAACTGAGTCATCGAGTTCGAAGACGATAGATCCCACATCGCCTAGCGACACAGATTGTGCGGTAATATAGGAAGATGGATGACTAGCCGGGTTCACACCGGTGAGATTGCCGCTAGACACAGTTTTGGCGTAGCAGGTGTAGGCAGCGCCGTAGGTTGCGCTCAGGTTGCGCAATTGGCGAGATGGGAGAGAAGATGCGTGGGCAAAGACGGCACCATTTGTTGCAAAGACCCTTTCTTTGTTAGTTACTCTTGATATCTGGACGGAAAAGGGAAGACAGGTTTACATCATAGAGGTGATTTCTGGCGGGGAGAGGTTATCCTCGAGCAGATCGCTCAACGCCTCTGCATCGAGCATCTTGATGTCAGGTAGACCGGGAATCATGTCGTCGTCGTAGGTGTAGATGTCGTTCTCAGTTTCGTAGTCAGATTCGGTACGACTGCCTTCAGTCGTACTTTCGGTTTCGGTTTCGGTTTCGGAGTTATCGTCAATAGCCCAGTCTTTAGGCGGGGACCAGGAACAATCTTCCGGAAAGAAGAAGCAGTTGTCCTGATAGTCTTCGTCTTCGTGATCGTATTCGATGGGTTCGTCTGAGCACTCCAGTAGATTCTGAGCGTATTGGACGTGGCTGCGAGCCCAGTAGGGAACAAAGCCAACCTCGTGGGTATCGACTTGTTTCTGGGTGAAGTAGCCCGGTTGAACTGGATGTTGGAACTCAGCCATGGTTTCTTTCCTCCTTTATTCTTTCGTATTTGAGGCAAGAACAGCGAAATGAAGCAATGAATGAAGCAGTGAGATGGGAATGGATAGAAGTAGATGGAGGGAGTAAGAGAGCAGAAGCAAGAAATCGGGTAAAAGAGCACACGACCACCAACTCCCGTGACCAAAAGAGTTCAGATCAGCAACTAAGCGAAACGAGGATAACGGATTGGCGCCTTGATGGCTAGTCCACAGTCCTCGACCCCGGAGTGCGAGGCATGATGCCTAACGGCCCATAAGTGATCAGACGATATGCCAAAACTGCCTGACGGGTCACTATGACGCTGAACCAAGGCTGGAGGGGGCCAAATGAGAGAAAAGAATGAGACAGAAAAAGAAAAGAAATGATGCAAAACAAGAGAACGTAGCAGGAAACTGAAGATCGATTGGATGTATCTATCTCCCGGGAGAGGCTTAACTGCCACCAACCTTGACTAAACACGACAACCGCGATGGAACCTTCTGCGCAAGTGACTGGAGTTGATTCTGCAATGCAATGCGATTGGATTCAGGTGGATTTGAAAGATGTTGTGCTGGACGAATGGGTGTTGGTGAGAGTCGAAGAGAGGGAATTGGAAGAGATGAGGTTGGCCGCTTAGAGAAGGAAAGATGGAGTCGGGGATCTGGCGACCAGTTGGCGGTGATGCGCTGGGCCAGTGCTACATACAGTCAGATTTCTGAGATCGATTGATATTATGGTATTTTATTATACTATCTCGGATTATAGTTGAATTAATTGAATTTATTCATGCGATTGTGCGTTTTTTTTGTGTTGGGATTGACTTTATGTCAACGATACTACTTGTGTGGAGTAGTTTAACGGCCCTCGATATACAACTACAAAATCCATACATTACACAGCCCATAAGACAATGAACTCATTCTATCGACAATAGCTCCGGGATATTCCTTGACAACAATGATCTGACTGCTGGGATACTGGATTTTAGTATGTTTTAGTATCACCAATGACAGCCAGTTCCCCGCATTGCACTCAGAGACAACCATCCAACACTCTTCCTGTTCCCGTTTCTTTCATCCAGGTCCATAACTCTATATCGACGTGATCCATGTTTCTTCGTCCTACTAAACGTGCATGCGATGGATGTATATCTCGCAAGGTGAAATGCAGCGGGACCTGGCCCTGCGACACCTGTCGAAGTGGGCCAAAACAGGTCAACTGCACCTACTTCAAGCCAGCTCGCAAGAGGGGTCCGAAGGTCCAACGGCCTGCTGGCATTCCTAGCGACAGCATGCCTGGCAGCTGTCGGGTTTCAGCAAATACCCCTGCTGAAACTGTTCCGAGAGACGGTTCTGCTATTGAGAGGAGTCCCGATTCGGCATATCCGTGGGGTCAGAGGATTCCTCAGACAACCTTGACTTACATTGTGCGCGAATATCAACGATATTCCTATGGTGTTTGGCCAGTGATCAATGTCGATGTGCTCCTACAGAGACTGGAGAGTGATAACGACCCGAGTACGTACTGCTTAGCTTTGGCGCTTTGCGCAGCAACAATGGCACAACTCCAACTCGCACCCCTCATGAATGGAGTTCGGAAGATCGACAGTAAACTTTTGGCAACTGAATGCCTGCGCCTGCGCGAAGAAATAGAATTTCGGGAGCACCTTGATGCACGCTTTGTGCTTATCTCGTTGTTCCTACACGTATACCATGCTAAAATCAACAAGCGAAACTCGGCCATGCTGTTTATACAGGAAGCCATTTCGGGTGCCAGATTGCTGAAGCTGGATGATGACGGTATTGTAGCAAGAGAATGGAGTGCGAATGAAGATGTGATTACGAACCGTGACATTCTATTTACTCTTCTATGGGTGTCGGAAAGGTATTCACCCTCTTGGAGGCGTGATAAATATGCGCGATTAGTGCTCATTCATAAATTGGCAGAGGCTATGCTATGCATCTTGGCCTGAAACCGTCCTATACAAGTCCCACTTGGCTACCAGACCGGACACAAACGTCTGAAAACGCTCACGTGCAGGGCTTGCTTGAGCATGCGAGATTATTCGCAGCCCTTGACGGCATTATTATCAGAGAAAGTGACCCAATTGGCCTCTCTATTAACACCCTAATGGAGACAGAAGCTGCTTTGTCGACGCTCTCGCTGGGCCAGGGTGATCGAGCACCCACACGAATGGCAGACTACTGTATCACCAAGGAATGGATGCGGATGATTATTTGGCAGGAGGCCCTATCTCGACACTTACTTTCTTCTACGTCGTATTTAGAGTTGTTAACTTTTAGGTTCCCGGTCCATGTTGGTCGGGATTTGCTGTGTTCACTACAGGGATTTTCCAAGTCCGATTTGCTACCTTTGGGCCGTGACCAGGTGAGCTCAAATGTCACTAGCATTATAATAAGATGCTGACTGAGCCAATGCAGCTTCTGAAGTGCTTTGAGATTACAAACTCTCTCGCAGACACAGTTCTGTGTACTTCTTTTATTCTTGCGCCGTACCAGAGCTTTCATTTTGGCCCTCAAGACTTGTTGCATGCTCTTTACCAGAAGCTTTTACCGTTTCTGGAACAGGACCAGATGCTAAAGTCAATTCTACATTTCAAGACCGCTGAGGCATTGGTAAAGGCCCCGGCTCGTACTTTGCGTTTAGGTGTGAACGAGAGACGGTTCGTGGAAGAACGGAGCAATGACGGTATTGATGACCGTCTGGATCTTGCAGACAATGTGGGGAGTGTTATATCGGAGGTCCCTGGCCCTTCCGCTTGAAATTGATGGCAACTATTTATTAGTGGACTGATCAGATGAATCTACTCGCTAATCTTAAGCACGATTCTCCCCGCGATGTCACCCTTCTCCATCTCATCATACACCTGGGGCAAGTCCTTGAACTTTCTAATTTTGATCTCAGGTACCACCACACCCCTGCGGACCAAATCCACCGCCTCCAAGCATTCCTTCAATGACCCAACCAAGTTACCAGTAATACGCAGGCCCTTGATCACAATGCTGCAGATAGGAGTTTCCAAGCACGGGCGCCCCATTGGAATCCCGATACAGCTCAGCGTTCCACCAACACGCAGCATATCACACGCATATGCATACGCTTTTGCACTCCCAGCTGTGACGACCGCCGCATGCGCACCCAGACCGGTGATCTCTTGAACGCGCGGTGCCGGGTCAGTGGAAGTGAAGTCGATGAAGTGTTTGGCTCCGAGTCTGAGAACGAAATCGCGTTTATCTGCGGCATCGACACCGATTACTAGCGCTCCTTGGGCTTTTGCGTATTGCACTGGTGTTTCATGTCAGTACAAGCGGGCAATAGTTCCAGTTCAGTGAACTCACCAGCCAAATGACCAAGCCCACCTCCAGCACCCACGACGACCAGCCAGTTCCCGGCCTTGACATTCGTGTTCAAAACAGCCTGTACCAGTCAGAACTATCAACAGCATTAAGGGAAAGAGAAGTAATACCTTATATGCCGTAACCCCCGCACAAAGCACCGGCCCAATAACACTCGGATCAACATCATCCGGCAAGATAGTCAAATAGTCCGCATCCAGAACGATATACTCCTGGAAGCACCCATCTTCATGATGCAAATGATTCGTGCCCTTGACACAATACTGTTCCGTCCCCGCGAGACAGAATTCACAGCGTCGACAAATACGACTTGAGAACCGGATCCCGACAAGTCCTCCCACTTTCAAGTCTGGTCCGCAGCCGGGGCCTAGAGCCACGATACGTCCAACACCTTCGTGCCCACCGATATGGGGAAGCTTGATTTTCGTGATAGGGTTGCCGTCGGAGCCAGCAGCGGTGCCGTTTTTGGTATGCAGGTCTGGGCAATTTGTCAGCCGATGGCTTCTTGTTCCGGGAAGTGTGGGGGAAATGCATACCGCTTTGACAAACTCCTGTGTATAGCACCTTAGCCAGAACTTCGTTCTGGCCGGCTGTGGGAACAAGGTGCTTCTCGAGAAACTCGACATTGCCACCAAGGGTACGGACCAAGGCGACAGTTTGGGTTTCTAGAATTTGTTCCATACTAGATGCTTCAGTTATAGCGTACGCTATTTGAGATACTCCCTGGAAAGGGGCGGCTGAAGTGATATATATATATGTATATATATACATGTCCTTTTCCAACCTCAGTGTCGTGTACATTTTTGTAGGTGATACTAGTAGACCGTGAATTTAGCTCCGGGATAATTCTCCTATTGGCTGGTTTCTGGTCGATATACAAATGGAAGCGAAGTTCCATTGATCAGATGGCACTAATTCTCCGAGGTCGAAGTGCATAGCGAGTGTACTAATGTATCTCGACTTTTCTCTAGCCTCTCACATTGCGTTCTTTCCTGCTTTTGTTACTCCGCATCTTACATTATTATATGCTAATTCTCCGAGCCAATTCTCCGATGTTGATCAATGGCGCCCAGAAGGGACAGGCCGCTTGGTTTATACAGTAGGTAGTTTGGTTGATTGAGATTCAATGTTCTCATACATAGTTCAAGTTCACGAATGAGCGACGTTTGGAGTGGGTGTCCGAATACTTTTGACATGAATGTGGGGTCATGTGTACAAGGACAAGCCAGTATTCTCTGCACCACAGGCCAGACGTGAGTCGCCAATAATACATTCATCCTGTTTACTGTCAGTTATAGAGAATACCTCGGTGTTATTCATAGTAAAATCGATAGTTATACATCGGAGTTAATCAGTTAGTTACCAGACATAGCTGAATAATCTGAATAGAGACATAGCTGAATAATCTGAATAGCGTCATAGCATTGAATTTACCCCACCTGCATCATCTCCAGCGATTCTCTGTGTTTCTCTCCTCTCTGCCCCATTTTCTCTCCTCATCTTCTCTTTCTGTCCATGTTTGCCAATCGCTCTCTGCCTCTATTAAGAAGCTTTTCTCTCGGGGTCCTCGCTCCACAAAGATCCATTGTCCAAGGTCTGTCATTGACAATCCCCGCTGTTGATCGGGCGGAGAAAAAAAAAAAAAAAAAAAAAAAAAAAAAAAAAAAAAAAAAAAAAAAAAAAGCGCTGACCAATTCTGCAGCCACAGGAACAGGAACCTATCGATCTCTCGCAACCATGGCTTCCGACCCGTCTACCTATAAGCTCAACCGTTCGTAACCTACCTTTGTCTCATGATCGTCCTGATCGAACCAATCAATCAACAATGGAGCTGACGTGATGTTCCTGGTCTGCAGACACAATGCTCCGGGTCAAGGACCCGAAGCGCTCGGGTAAGTCAGATCAGATCTACCCTGGTGGGAAAGATCGAAAGTTAACGGGTGGCAGTGGAGTTCTACAAATACCTCGGTCTCAGCCAGATCCAGCAGCTCGACTTCCCCGAGAACAAATTCTCCCTCTACTTCCTTGCCTACAACGGCCCCTCGTCGCTCCAGGGTGACCGTCACTGGACGGACCGCAACGGTGTCGTCGAACTCACCCACAACCACGGCACGGAGAGCGACCCTAACTACAGCGTGGTCAACGGCAACACAGAACCGCACCGCGGATTCGGTCACTTGGCCGTGTCCGTTGACAACATTGAGGTGGCCTGCAAGAGACTCGAGGATGCGGGGTACGCATTCCAGAAGAAGCTCACGGATGGTCGCATGAGGAACATTGCCTTTGTCAAGGACCCCGATGGCTACTGGGTGGAAATCATCCGTCGCCGTGATGAGGATTTCGCAACTGCCACCACGGACCCCAGCACCTACCGCCTGAACCACACTATGCTCCGGGTTAAGTCAGCTGAGACAAGCTTGAAGTTCTACCAGGAGGTTATGGGTATGACTCTGGTGCGCACCAGCGAGAACAAGGATGCCGGTTTCAACCTCTACTTCCTGGCGTACCCAAAGTCCAACCCTCAGCTGCAGGAGGATGCAAGGAACCCCGTCGCTGAGTGGGAGGGTATCCTTGAATTGACCTGGAACTACGGCACGGAGAAGCAGGAGGGTGATGTTTACCACAATGGCAACACGGAGCCCCAAGGTTTTGGTCACATCTGTAAGTGCATTTTTGAACTGTGTAGACAAATTATCGCTAATTCTCCTCCTAGGTATCTCCGTTGATGACCTCAATGCCGCTTGCGATCGCTTCGAGGGCCTGAATGTCAACTGGAAGAAGCGCCTGGCCGATGGTCGCATGAGGAACGTGGCGTTTGTCCTCGACCCGGACAACTACTGGATTGAGGTGATCCAGAACGAGACTCTCAAGCGCACCAGCAACTGGTAGATAGTGTAAAGTGTAAAAAGGAATCATAGTAGCATATTGTACTACGTATCTTCATACATTCTTGTACTCTGATAATAAGAGCTCCCTTATTGGCCGCCCCCGCCCTTCCCCACAGCACCCCGCGAACCAGAGACTCCCCGGAAATTCCTGTCATGTGGCCCCAAAAAAGAAAAGCTAGACCTCAATGGGCCTTTCCCTGTTCTTCTCCTCCATCATTTTATCTTCTTCATCATCTTCTAATATATCTTGTCGCTTACTCGTCTTTCCTGAATGCAGGATATGTCTGTGATTATCCAATCGAATCCGGATGTCGGTTGACTTGATGATTTGTTTTGCTCTCTTCTCGCTCCCTCCCCGATAACCATCGCCAGTACTCCGGCTTCTCCTCACTGGCCACACAATTACACCCGTGCACACCCCGCCAAATCCCGTCTAGAGCCTTCTTCTTTCGTCCCGTTGCCACCGATTCCATTCCGGTTCTGTCGCGATGCAGCCCGAGTCGGAGAAGAAGTCCAAGAAGACTCCCCGCAAGCATGTCACCACCGCCTGTGTTCCTTGCCGGGAGAGCAAAATTAGAGTATGTTGGGTCTGCGGATTATCTTGCCTATTTCAATTCGACTTTCCCTCTTTGGATTTCTTTCTTCATTCATCCAGATTTGAGCTTCTTGATCCTGTTTCCTTTTCTTTTAATCTAACACGAGATAGTGCGACGGGGCTTCCCCGCATTGTAATAATTGCCAAAGAAAGGGCAAGAATTGCAAATACCAACATGGCGACGACAAGCGCAAGTAAGTTTTGACTTCCCGCAGACATGGATAATAAACAAAAAAGGGTTGGTTTCGCAAACATGTTTCTAGGAGCTGACAGTTTATCCCATGATCCCAGAGTGTCTCTCCGGGCTGCGACGGAGCTGTTCTCCGCGCGAATTGACCAGTTATCCCAATTTATCGAAGACCATGGGCTAAAACCTCCTCTTATGAAACCCGAGGATGAAGCGGGTATGGATCGAGTATTGGATACCCTTCAGATTCCTCGGAAGCAAGTACAAAAAAAGAGCCCCAAGTCGAAGAACAAGCCGCCTGTCAAGTCCCAACCAAATGTCGCCCAATCACCCGCGCAAAGCTCCCCTGCGAGTATTCCTGTTGTGACTTCCCCTCTTGGGGGTCAGTTGAATCAAGTGCCTGAATCGAGCGTGCCCGTGACCTCGTCGACGTCTCAGAATATCTATTCAAAACCATCCTTCTTTCCTCCTACAGAAAAGAGTCCAGATGCCGCGAATTCATTCTCGCTGAGCTCGGGAGCTTTGAACAACTACAGCTGGGGTTTTACGCTTCCTACCGCAGAGAGTTTTGATACGCTTTACGCCAACTTGGAGAGCGGGGGAGTTAATATGCCAGCAGAAACAACCAGTTTGAGTCCGGATAGTCTACATTTGAGTCAGGACATTGCTCAGCAGCCAGGTGTCTTGCTCGAACAAGCGCAGAACAACTGGCTTTATGATAGCGATAGCGGCGATGATGAAGACGAGGCAGAAAAGGATGTGATTGACCAGATTTCACACCGTATCGGAACGCTGAAGATTGCCGGTGATGGTCATCTACGGTTCTATGGTGCGACTTCGAACCTTAACCTGGTAGATGTGTCTGCGACGCAACAGCGCCAGCGCCCGGATGCGCGCACAGTCCGCCACGATGGACAAGATATCCTGAATCACCTGCGCGTTGGGCAACCAGTTGGTCAGGAGTTGGAGGACCATCTCGTCGAACTCTATTTCACCTGGCAGAACACTAGTACCTACGTGGTTGACAAGGAGATGTATATGATAGCCAGGACGAAGTGGAGGGAAGAATATGACGATACGCCGTTTTATTCGGAAGTGCTTACCAACGCGATGTATGTCCGCTTTCTGACCTACATGATTCCAGTATCTAACGTGGCTCTAGGTGTTCCATCGGAAGCGCATTCGAAGCACGCTACCATCCTACGTTTATCACATTCCCCAAGTCTCTGTCCGAGTTCTTTGCGGATCGGGCAAAGGCGCTTTTGGAGATTGAGCTGGACTCCCCGTGTGTTGCTACAGTACAAGCTCTTGTAATTTTGAGCTGTCATGAGGGTTCTTCGAACCGTGATGCGCGAGGATGGCTTTACAGTGGTATGTATGAGAGAAGGGAGGCAGAAGAACCAGGGTGCTGACATATTGTACGGGTAGGGATGTCAATGAGACTTGCTTTCGACCTTGGGCTGCACCTCGATACGACATCGTACGTTGAGAAAGGCGACATAAGTGCCTTCGAGGCTGATGTGCGTCGAGTGGCTTTCTGGGGAAGTTATACTGCTGATCAGTAAGTTATCTAGTTTTGCCATGTGGCCGTATAGCTAACGCTGTGAAGCTTCTGGGGTTTCTACCTAGGACGGCCTTTCCGTATGAACACCGGGGATATCAATGTTCCAAAGCCTGCCTCAGACATAGCGGTTGAGAAGGAAGGGACTTGGTATCCTTATGGTCTTCAGGCAAAATCGGAAGTACCTCCTACAGGATTGAAAAGTCCGAATGAACTGATCAGCAGGCAGTTTGCTATTCTTTGGGAGATCATATCTCCCGTGGGTCATATCCTGTATGAAATCCAACGTCCTCCTCCCTGCGCTTAAGGTAACTGACATGACTTAGCTACGGGTGCTCCGATATCTCTAGGCATGACCTACAAAGACTCTGCTATAGGGTAACCGAAGACCTGTTTGCTTGGAAAGCGAATCTGCCCTCAGCGTTGCAGATTGATCTTGCAAATGATGTTGTTCCAATGTTGCCCCATCTTTTAATGCTTCAGTATGCTACCTTTACATATGCTCTTGGAGACCAATAAGCTAATGCGAAACAGCATGCAATATCATCAAATAGTCATTTTCACACACCGACCCTGGGTCTCGAAACACTACATCCAGCCGCGCAGTCCCCGCCAAGGACCCGGCTACCACCACGCTAGACGAATGTGCATAGAATCTTCCATGGCCGTTGCCAGGCTACTCCAGATCTACGAGAAACACTATACATTCCGCCGCATGAACAACCAGGTTGTTGCCATCATCTTCAGCGCCGCTCTCATGCTTCTCTACGTCACTATCTCCCCTGGAAAGGCCAACAACAATGAAAATGGGGCCGCCCGTGTGGAAATGGTTGCATATCTGAACCTTTGCTTCCGCGCTTTGGACGAACTGGGCCAGTCATTCGAGAACGCGAAGCGCACGCGAGACTTCCTGGTTAGTTTGCAGCGAAGATGGCAGGCGCACATGCGCAGGTCTGGTGCAAAGCGTCAAATGGGAAATCGCCAGTCATCTCAGCCACCGGCACAAGGTCGATCAGAAACTGACCCGTCGAGAAAAAGGTCCCGACTCTCTGTTTCAGGCCATTCTCTTCCCACAGCTACTGCTGCCAATAACAGCAACAGCAACAGCAACAAAAACAACAACAAGAACAAAGCCTTCGCCATCCCCGCAACACCACCCTCTACCCAACCACAAGCAATACCACCACCGTTAAACCAAGCACATCTCAGCGGAGACATAGACTGGATCCGTAACTCAGATCTCCAGCTCCTCTCTGAGGGACTGACGAATGATCAATTTCCTCAAATACCGGGGAATCCGGCCTCGTATGCTGAGGCATCGACGATACCGAGCCTTGCTGATATAGAGCCATGGTGGGAGTCGCCGAATGGGACTACGACTTTTGGGGGATCTTCGTTATAGATAGTGATAGATGTGGCGGAATACGTATTTGGTCGGCAGTCCTGTTTCTGCCTTCTCATTCCCGTTTTAACGATTGAACGTTGGAAACGCTAGATTATTCCTTAGAAGTTAATTATCTAATAAGCTATTTGAGCTTACAGGAACCAAATAGTTTCAGCGGGACTATTACCCTTAGTTATTTAGGTTTTAAGCAAAACCTCGTACTATTTCATACCTCTGTACTCTATAAACTATAATGAATATTTACTGGCTTCTTAACCGCTAGACTCCTCGCCTGTCTCTTCCTTCTCTTTCTCAGGATTGCGCGGCCACTCCATAACACTATTCAACCACTCCCCAGCCATCTTCTCAATACCATCGCTAGCAGGCCACACTTCACCCGAAGGGACTCTTGACAATTGAACACCCTTCTCACGGACTTCCTTCCTAGCATTATCCCCCCAGAAACACGCCCGTTGCAGGGTTTTATGCATATACTTCGCTTGTTCAGAGAGAATAGTCTTGTTCCCGGATCTCCTGGACTCGGGCCGGCGAACAAACAAATGAACCCAGGGAAGCGTCATATCCAACCTCTTGAATTCAAGAAGATGTGGCTGGAACCAGTTTACGCCGCTGAGGCCGTAATCGAGGCCCTCTGGGGGCCAGCGGAGGAGTGCTTTTCGGTACATTGGGATCTCGAGGTTGTATCTTCTTCCGTTCTGATCGGCTACGATGTAGATGGATTCATCGTAATAGTTGTTGAATTGCTCGTCGTCTATTTCTTCTTCCAGGGTTTCACCGCGGAGGACGTCCTCGTCTTCGACGAGGCCAAGGGACATTACGTCGAGGACGATTTTCTCTCGTAACACGGGGATCGGATGGTCGGGGCCGGTGAGGTAAAGTGGAAACTTGGCGGGGATAGCCCTTCCAGGAGTGCGGACGAAAATGATTGGAGAGGCGAAGGGGTCGAAATACCGCTCTGGCTTGACGAAGAGAGATCTGCGGGCTTCGAGGAGAGGGACTAGTTCTGGAGGTGCGACGGATTGAGATTTTGTTTTTCTCTTTATGGCTCCCCTTCCACCTTCGGATAATCTCAAGTTCGATATGTGTTCCTCTATCGCTTCGATCTGTGGATCTGTTTCTGCTGGTAGGTAGTCGGGAACCATGCACCACTCATCCAAACCCGTCCAGTCACAAATGGGTTCCACAGCCGCGACAGCATGTATCGACTGCGACTCCGTAAGCGCGAGCATCAGCGCCAAAGAGCCACCGACATGACTACCCAGGACATCCAGCTGACTCGGCTGGAAGGTTTTCTGGATCCAGTCGAATGCTGTTAATGTATCGTGCACAGCATTCTCGTATTCGTAGTGTACGAGGCGGGGCGATTCATTCTCATCGGGTTTGGCGACGGCTGATTTCGCGGTACTGCTACCGTCATTTTCAGGGTTTTCTGCGTCGGGGAGTTGCTCCTCGGGTGGTTCGATTGTGCCTAGGCGGTAGTAGATGGTTACGACGGTTGAGGAGGTCGATGTAGCGAGGCCATGTTGGGCGCGGAAGGGATCGGTGTCATTGTGGGAGACCGAATTCTTCACATCGGTACTTGTAGGTGTATTCTGTTGCTGGAAAACCGGCCCCGGGGGGAGATAAACGGTCACATTCGGATAGGCTTGTTTCGGAGACTCGAGCGATTCGGTTACACTATAGTTTTCAGCAATATAAGTTAGCCATTGAAAGTTACTGTTAGTGATATTGCGCAACGATACCTCAACAAGACATGCCCATTGCTCCCCACGGGGATGCCAAAGGTCCTATCGGAATATGAAGAAGAGAATCGTTTGCAGGAAGACGAAAAGACACTTCGGGGAGTAGAGAGGGCAAAAGGACAAAGCCTTGAGTGCCGCCTGATCAAGAGGTGTGCTAGAAGGCGCATTGCGCCATTTTTGGAGTTGGTTGGAGACGCGACGCGGGATGTTGATCGGCGTTAATTGATAAAGGCGGAGCGGGGAGCGGAGGATATTTCCGCCGTTAGCATCTGAGTCTGACTCTTGGCATCATCTATAATTCTCGTTCCAACAGCTTGAGGACATGGATGAAGGCAATATCTAAATAAAGAGCTGATCCAATCCACTTCTCTCGTTTGTCGCAGATACCGCGGGGTCATCCATATCCAACGCCGCTTCAACGTCGTCTCCCGGCACAGGACGAACGACTTCCAGACTCAACCTCGGATCCTTAGAATAGACTCGCAGACCTACAACACAAACTGCATTCCAGGGGTCACTGATAGACTCCTCTGGGCAGTACATAGATAGCCCTCGAGGCGCTTGTTCTGCAGGTTCAGGTTCCTCGGGCATGTCGATGTCAGAATCGAATTCAAATCCATCCAGCAGTTCTAGCTCACTGCAGTCAAAGTCATCTGCTGTGCAATTGGTGTCAATGCTGAGATGCCTTGAGTCTCTCTTGCGCTTCGGCTTATTGTAACCGTTTAGCTGAACGGCGGGAATGGTGCCGTTGATTCCGAATGTCGCCGGACTGTTGACCATGTCTGCCCGTATGTGAAGGGAGTCCTCGAGCGATCCCTTTTTAAATACACCATTTCCCAGGGATTGGTTACTGGAGAGACTGTCTTTTCTACCAGCAAGTCTTTCTGTTGCTCTCTTTTTCCGTGCAGCCGTCTTCCGCTCTCGAATCCACTCCTTTTGCAGCCTTCTTTTTGTTTCATCGCGTCGTCTCTCCCTCTCTAGCGCTTTGCTACGCCTTTCATAATTTTCGCGGGCTTTCTTCTCTCTTTCCGTCTCAGTGACGCGACCCTTGGCGTGTGCTAGGTCATACGACAGCCCGATCTGAACCAGTTTCTCGCGCCTCCTTGAAGCTAAACGACTGACGGCCTCATCTGTTGATTCCATACCAGGGTGCCGGTACGCTGTGATCTTCATGAGGACATAATAGCGACCTGGCTTGAGGGTGATCTCTGCGTTGGCGGATCGTTTCAATAGATGATTGCTCTGGCTGCGAACAAGGTAATCTTCCTCGCCATCCTTTTGCACCCTGAACTTGAGAGCGAAGTCGTACTCCCCTGCTAAGCCTTTGAAGTAACGTGAATCGAGCTGGATTATGTTAGTAGACCGGCCATAAGTAAAGAAGATACAAAGGGAACTACCTGCGAGAGGACAATCACCAAGGGACTTTCCTCTGTTACAGCAATCATGAACTTGGTACTGTGGTAATCCGCAGACCATGGAACATTGAGAGAGGTCCACTGCTGAGTGACTGTCCATTCAGGTCCGAAGAGGCGTGTTCGGTCGAAATGTTGATATTTTTTGAGCAGGTCATCATAACAAATCCAAAATACCTGCTCCACAAATCGTCAGTACTTCTCGATATTTAATATATGCGGATGTTAGTACCCCATCGTTGCCAAACTTATGTCCTAACTTTTCCATCCATTCTGGAGTCCACTGCTCAGAACCATCACTCCATGCTCCACTCCATTCTTTCTTGCCCCAGGGATTCCTTGGTTGTGTTAGCACTGATTCAATTGCTCGAAGGAGGATTTCGCATACCTCAATCGAAGCAAGCGATGACCATCAATCTCTCGGGCCTCCATGATAGAGTACGAGTGATTTTCGAATATACCTTTCCTATCCCTAGGACGACCTTCGTACTTTGGACACAACCAATTGGACCACAGACCAGTACCGCAACCGAAAAGGAAGTCCCGATTAACTTTCATGAGTTCCTCGTTCCAGAAGCGATCTTTGTCCAGAACACTGCTGGACAATATATCTATGGTAACGCCACCGGTAAGGTCCTCAATGGCTTCCCTGGTACGTATTAGCCCCGTGCTCAACTGGTTGGGCTATGGTTGCTCTTACCCCACAAATCCACCTTCAATAGCAGAATAGTCTCCGTGTGCCTTTGCAAAAGCCTTCTCCAGTAGTGGTAGCCATATTTCGTTCTCATCCGCACACTGAGCGAAGTATAGGGCTCTCGATCCGGTCTGAAAGGCTTTCCGGTATTCCTCTTCGGTATCCTTACGGGTGATATCGTCCCAGACGTGTCGCTCGTCTAATGATTCATCATAATCTGCAGCTCGCAGGTAGAGTTTGTCATCTACAATGCATTGCTGCCATTCGCCATCTAATATGAGCGAATGGTTATGTTAGTCTCGGTTTCGGGTGTTAGAAGACCATCACCTACCTCGGAAGAAAACGAATCCATAAACACCAACTTTTTCATTACGCGCGACGCAGATATTGTCGATAAGGTCTCGTTTATTTCCCAGAGTACACAGAGCTGCCATGAGCCAACAATCGCCGTCTCGGCCCTGGCGTACATCTGAGGCAGTCGGCCCGTTCACATAGAACTGTGGTTTCTCAAATATCTCCTACCAAGGTGTCAGCTTTCTCACTATTCCGGGAAAAAAAAAAAAAAAAAAAAGACCTTGCAGCCATGGGATCACTCACAGTAACCCTCTTGACGCCTTTTGGCAGCATCTCTAAATTACACACATCCAACCCATCCAGATAATGCCTACTCCCAGACTTCAAATCAACCTCGATATCAAAATGCGGATCCGTATACTTCTGATTCAAGCGTTCGCACTCCCGTACAATCCGGTTAACAGATCGTTCACACTCCTTTCTGGCCTGGTGGTAGGGCTTCGCCGCATTCTGACCCTGGATAGTACCTTTGGGTATCCGTGCGGCTTTGCTGCGTGCGTACGGGTTATCAGGAAGAACGGTATAAACTTTCCCTGGAAACTTGGCGCTGAATTGGTCCCAGAATTGTCTCACGGTTTCTTGCGGGGGTTGTCTTTTGATCTTTCGCGGTGTCCGGCTTCCGGAACGTGAAGATGGTGGTGCGAAGGATAGGTCGCCCCTGTCATCGTGGTCCATGGCTTATTATCTTATTAGGTCAAGACGAAAATTCCAGAGAGGCCAAATAGCTGTACTGTAACTGACTCCAAGATGTGAAATGGAAGTAATGGAAGAGGTCAGCAATAAGCCGCGTGAGATGCGGTTGTGCAGGGTATTCGTATTCACAGGCGTGGCCAGGCACCTCTTCTTTCTCTCCCTGAATATATCGGATTTAGCCTCGAGAATGTGCCCCACGGGCAATTCAGCCGCGATATCACTATCAATCGGCGTCGCCGCCACCCGGGCGAATACATTGTCCTGGGATTGGTGGCTACATTGCCCTAATCATGCAGCAGATGCGTGCAGAGAATAAGGCTGCAGATCGGCAGTCAGAATATACGGAGTAATCCGTGACTGGGGTAGTTTAACGGGACTGTCAATTCAGGAGGCTATACCGAGGCAAACTAGGCACTGGTTTTTAACATACCGGTAAGGTGATCATACCTCATCTCCCTTCGATTCCTTAAGTTTATATTGAGGCACGGGTTTATGCCGAGTAACACACAGCCTTGCCAAGATGCTGACAATGTTTATGGCGAGGCTGGCACGAAAGCCGAATACGAACTTACATAGTATAAGACGATCAATATATTCTGTAAGACGTATTGAGCCGCACGATAAGCAAGTTCGTGCGTAAGCACTTTCCTGTATTTTGATATTTCTGTGCACTTTACTCCGTGTATTACGGAGTACTCCGCAGGGATTCGTATTCCGCCGCAGTACACTAAATCCCCAATCTCCACCCTTTAATTGACCCAGAAACTTGAACTGAATACGAGCGCTTCCTTCAGCTGCCCAGGCCCAGGAACAGGCCGTCGAGGGATTGTCAGCTGGAACGTGCTATCACAGTGGAGAAGCTTACAGCGTATTTCTATGCTCAAGACTGCGTAGTGTAGTGTACAGAGTCATTCAGGTACATGGTTTGTCTACGTAAATCTAACAGATCTTCGTTAAGCACTAATACTGAAATGCTTATATCCCAGTTTTTATGTGCCATGTCGATGCTATATAAGATGAAGGTTCAATAACCTTCCAGCTGCTGCTTCGTAGTAATACATAGTAGAGCAGCAGGGCAGTAGGATTAAGTAGGAAATTGGCCGATGGGAGGAAATATATTCTAAGTTAAGAGAAGATCAGTTTCTAGGAAGTGCATAGAAGTGAAGGGAGCTTATCTTGAGAAAGAAGAGTTAGAAGACCACGTGTTTGACGAGGGCTACGGGTTTCACGGAGTTACCTTGCAACCATCATCCGACACCGATGGTCGCTCACTACGCATAGTCTATCCAACTTAACCCTTCACCCCCTCGAAAAATGGGGGTACTTACGAGACCATTCATCCGAATTAGCAAGAGAACTACACGGCATATGAGTACATGGAGTAGCAACCGCGACTTGTTCGAGTACACTTCCGGGCGATTCTTGTCAGTTGCAGCCAAACCCACATCGCTGAGGACTATCCACTCACCATCCACAATCCAGATTCAACGAGCAGCGTCGACTTGCTGAGCGTCGCGTCCAGTTCAATGTTGATGCGCTTGTGAACGCTGTATGCCAGTCAACCAACCGCCCTGCCGGTGACATCTCTTCACTCTCAAAACTTACGGAAAACGACCAAAACCGCGTCATTCAAACCACATTCAAAGATGGCCATAATGTGCTTGCCAAAATACCGTACAAGATAGCTGTTCCGGAGAAACTCGCGGTAGCGAGTGAGGTGGCCACCCTCGATTTACTCCGCCGTACTGGCGTACCAGTTCCCAAGGTTCTGGCCTACTGCGCTGGCCGTACGAATCCCGTTGGTGCTGAATACATTCTTTTGGAGAAACCGGAAGGACGGCCCTTGAGTGAGACATGGCTCTCTATGACGAATGAAACGCGAGCGGAGGTTATGAAGCAGATTGTCGCCGAGGAAAGCAAGTTTTTGAGCATACCCTTTCCCTCGAGTGGAAGTGGAAGTCTGTATTATCGCAGAGACTTGGAGGAGGCTCAATTCTGTATATCTCTTCCTGCGCAGGAGGGCATCATCCCTCCACCTGACCAAATGGTCTTTGGACCATCTACGCAAAGCACCTGGTGGTATCAAGAACGGAAATTACTGGACGTCGACCGTGGCCCATGTATTTCTTCCTCTTCTCCTTATCCAGTACGTATACCCGGGACACTAATAACAAGATAGGGTCCGATTACCTTTCATGTTTCGAAGCCCCCGCCAAACGCGAACTAGAATATTGCAAGCGCTTCGTCAAACCTCGTCTCCACCCTGAAAGATACCTACGAGAACTGTACCATTCCAAAGAGATGTCCCAGACTGCCCACATTGACCTTCTCTCCGACTATCTGAAACTAGCACCCTATCTCAACGTCCCATTAGACCACCCGTTCGCTTATCCCACCCTCCGCCATCCAAACCTCTCGCCGGACAACATCCTAGTCGATTCCTCATACAACATCACAGCAATAATCGAGTGGCAAAATGCCGTGGTACTCCCTCTGTGCCTCTGCGCCGCGGTACCCGACTCCTTCCAAAACTGGGGTGGACCCGGGTCAGAAACCCTGACGAAACCCGATACCAATCTGCCGAAGGATTACCACGAGCTAAGCGCCTACGAACAGGCAAAAGCCCAGGAAGCGGTTCTAAAGCGCATCGCGCATTACTATTACAGTGCCCTAACAACACAGGACCACTTCGATGCTATGAGCGGCGAGAATTCGATTCGTCGAGCCGAGGTATTCAAGCGTGTCGGGGTACCCTGGGAAGGGAACTCTCTGCCTCTCAAAGTTGCGACGATGGACACTGTCATCAGATGGCCCACTGGTGCTATGGCTATTGATAATGAGAACTGTTCAGGCCTGGTTGAGTGTCCAGTGAAGTACTCGGAGCAAGAGATATCGCAGTGCAGGAACGAGCTTAAACAGGTAGCTGGAGCACGCCAGGAGCTTGCGGGATTGACTGAGATGATTGGTATAGATTCTTTGGGGTGGGTTCCTGACGATGAACAGCTTGAGCGATCAAGAGCTATGGCGCAGACGACTAAAGAGGCTATGCTGGAGAATTCAGAGAGTGATGTTCAGCGGACTGCAGTTATGGAACATTGGCCTTTTGATGATCATGATGAAGGCCCTTTAGATATTGAGGATTGATGGATATTTTGAGCATATATTCTCGACTCTTATCTGTTTCACAGCTCAGCATCCAACCAACATCAAACGACAGGTGGCCCTCTTCGGCCGTGTCGATATCCTGTAAATGACAACCAATCAAGAAAAGAAACGAAAGATAAATTAGCTAGAAAGCTAAAGCCATCCACTAAATAATTTCAGTCATAAAAATATGGGTATGCATGCACACGTTAAGTCAAAACAACACTTCCTTGTAGTCATATCCAGTAGCCTAGACCTCCTTCCTGCCAGATCGCTCCACAGATAACGCCATGAACAAAAGAAATAACAAAGAAAAAAAAAAAAAAAAAAAAAAAAAAAAAAAAAAAAAGAAGAAGAAAGGGGGAAAAGAACGCATTCAAGCGCAGAGACATAAAAACGGACAATAAAGGGATACAGGGTGGCCAATAAAGGACTGTATCATTGTCCGCAGTAGTGGACGTCCCTTTCTATGTCGAGGTCCCTTGCCGGCTATCCACGTATGATAGAATCACACAAAGGTGGAGATAAATTCGTCAGTCCACTAGTGGTATCCTTTTGTCCGGTTGCGACCAGAATAGTAAGAGCTGCCGTGTTGGAAGTATGGGTGCAAGCAGGCCTGTTTCGCGGAAAGCCGGCGTACTGGGTCATACTCGAGTAGCCCTTCTATGAGATCGAGGCCGGCGTCTTCCAATCCAGGAACGACATTAGCCATATCTTGACGCTTCCACTTGGGGAACGTAGGTTTGTAGTCGGGAAAAGATGAGATGCCAGGCCAAATGTTCTCGTCTGGAGTACCAAGAAGCCTGTAAAGAAATGACCTTGTGTTAGTCCAATATCTTTTGTTGTATGACTTGACCAAGGAGCTCAGGAAGCGCACCGGAAAATCTTGAAAATCTCGTCAATCTCGGAATCACCGGGGAAGAGCGGTCTACGTGTGCACATCTCTGCAAAGATTGCACCAGCAGACCACATGTCGACACCGGTGGAATATTGCCGACCACCCAGAAGAATCTCAGGAGCACGATACCACAATGTCACGACCTGGTTAGGAGTGTTAGCTATATCGCTGGCGTGACTGGCATCAAACAGTAGAGCTTACTTCGTGAGTGTAAGTTCTTAGCGGGACACCAAAAGCTCTCGCCAATCCAAAATCGGCCAATTTCAGGTTACCATCGCGGTCGATAAGCAGGTTCTGCGGTTTGAGATCCCGATGCAGGATACGGTGGCTGTGGCAGTATCGGATTCCTTCCACGAGCTGGGCCATAAACTTCTTGACCATGGCATCTCCCAAGCCCATGTCTTTCCTCATCGTAGTACCGTCTGGAAGGGCCTTTCCGCGTCCACCTTCGCTCACGGGGAGAGCCTCCATGTACTTCTTGAGGTCGAGATCCAGGAATTCGAAAACGAGATAAAGCTTGTGGCCATCGGCGTGCACAATATTGAGAAGGCTGACGATGTTGGGGTCGTGCATCTCCTTGAGCAAAGAAATCTCACGAATGGCTGTGCTAGGAACACCTTCATCTTCCGCTTCCAGACGAATCTTCTTCAGGGCAACAATACGGCCGGGGTGGGTGAGTTCGCGGGCTTTGTAGACGACACCGTAAGTCCCTGAAAAAAAAGAGAAGAAAATGTCAGTTTCCTAAGATTTTATTTGATCTCGATGGGACAAATCTAAGGCAATTTCGAAGTGACATGCAGATCCGACGTACCCTCTCCGATCTTCTCAATTCGGTGGTAGTTCTCCATGTTGGCGGTGAGTATATGTTCTGTTTTAGAATATTCACACAATGACAAAAAGAGAAGACTCGTCCAGTATCAGATAATCGAGCAATAGTCGTGAGAGTCCGTTGGAGTGTTGATCCCTCAAGGAGTGAGGAGTTATAAACAAAGGGCCGGGTGTTGTCAGGAGAGAAAGAGAAGGAGAGCAGCAACAACGAGCGAGTTGAAGGGAATCCCAATTGCCAACCGGCCACGGTCGTAGCAGCGAAGTAAGCGGCACCAAGCAAACACCCAGCGGCGAGATCCCGAGAGAAGTAGTCGAATTCAACCGGCTTGACGATAAAATGGATCCTGATTCTTTCTTTATTTTCGCTGTTGGTGGTGGGGAGCGAAGGCGGTGAGCGTTGCGCCCAAACAAACCGCCAAAGGCGGTGGACGCGCTTCCACGTGACTTTATTTATCATTCCGTCATTATTTTTTTTGGCAGGCAAAGAACCGTTACTTTTTATATCTAATGCGCTGATATCGTCCAGTGAGCCCTAGGAACAAGATATGGCTCAGATCAAAGGCCTTAATGCTCATGACCGTCCTCCGGAGTCCATCCGTCAGCGCTACAAGAAATATCAGAAAACCCCTCTAGCGGAAATTGACCACGACTCTAGCATACTTGATCTCCAGGCCTTGGACCCGGACAGCCTTCCGGATGGTATCTCTGTTTCGGAATGGAGGTCCAGCGAGGACTTTCGACTGGCATTTGACCAGTTCGTCAAAGGGGACGGCAGCATATGGCAGCACAGAGGTCCTCTACTTGAAAATATTCCCGTCTTTACTCATCGATCCGTCTCTGGTCAGCACAAGCAACCACCTTATCTTCCTTAGTAATTGAGGGAAGGGTAGGGCCCATAAACTCGGAGAACTAATGAATACCAGGCTTGCTAATGATCCCGTCAATGTTTCCCCCCACCGTCCAGATCGAGCTGCTGTCTCGTCTATTCCACCGGGACCTGTCAAACAACGAACACCAGACAAATGTTCATCTGCATTACGATGTTACCTATCCCGATCAGGCAAAAAACATTGAGACTCCAGATGGACCCGCTTCTTCAAGCTTAGGCCAAACTCGGAATCAATTCCCATCTTTTTTTGCGGATGATCCAACGAGGACCATCCACCCCAACGATCCAGGAACGCATAAGCCGATCACGGTACAGAACTTGTTAGAGAAAAAGCTCCGCTGGGTCACACTGGGTGGCCAATATGATTGGACTGCCAAAGTATACCCAGACGGCCCTCCCCCTCCATTCCCGAATGATGTTGCGGAGCTCTTGCGCGCAGCCTTCCCAGAGACGGAAGCACAAGCTGCAATCCTGAACGTTTATTCTGCCGGGGACACATTGAGTGCCCATCGCGATGTCAGCGAGGAGTGTGATGTGGGCTTGATCAGCGTTAGTTTCGGTTGCGATGGATTGTTCATGATTAGCCACGACGATGGCATTGGCTGTGAAATTATTCGTCTTCGATCAGGTGATGCCGTGTACATGAATGGTTCATCGCGATTTGCATGGCATGGGGTGCCGAAGATCTTACCAAATACATGTCCGAGTTGGCTGGCAGACTGGCCATCGCTATCTCACGACAACACAGACGCATCACAGTATGCGCTTTGGAAGGGCTGGATGTCCGGGAAGAGAATCAACTTGAACGTCCGACAAATGATGAATTCTATGCTACATGAGGCGCTTGTCACTGGCCATTGAGCTAGTGTGGTGATGAAAGGCCTTCAGAGTACGGCATCAAGTGCCCTCATCTTATTCCCGCCCTTCTAGGCGTCGGTTGTCCAACAACTGGGGGACGGGACCTACGATATTGACGAATATTCCATACATAGAATTTGCTTTCGGGTTGTGATCTCGTTAGCAGCAAGTATCCTTTCTCGAGCATTCTTTGGTTGTTTATATAGATATTTGATCTGTACATACCTACATATGGGGTTTAAAAAAAAAGCAATATGTTCCGTTGATTGGAAATTCCACACTAGATTTCCCTATTACAAAGTAATCCCAACAAAAGCAAAGAGAAATGTATTGTGAATGGAAAGGTTGTGAATAATCTCCACAGTCCGGTAAAAGCTTGGCAAAACACTGCAGCTTCCATCATTCCCTCGTCCGCTCTCTCCATTTCTTCCACCTTTTCCTACTCTCCAACTCAACCACCACGTATTTCTATAAAAGTCTCTGCTCCTTTTTGTGCCTGCTTTTATCCGGCACGTTTTCGTATGAGACAGACAAACCAGGTCATGATTTAGCCTGAGAAATCGCACAGCATATCCTGTCATTCCGCATTTCACCGACAACCACGCGTCTCGCAAACCTGCACCTGCATTCAAATCCTTGACCTCGTGGCTGTTGTGAAACATGGAGGACGCCCCTTCTTCTCGACCAGCTGAGGTCGATACCCCCGAAGGCTCTATTGGAGGCGATGACAACCAGGGCCAGACACCTGCCGCGAAGGGCCAGTCGGTCAAAGACCGAAAATGCCAATACTGCCAACAATCCTTTACCTCATCCTCTCTTGGTCGACACCTCGACCAATTCCTGTTTAAGAAGAAACCCGACGGTATACACAATGTCGAGGAGATCCGACGTCTTCGAAGTGGTATCACCCGACGCCAGGCGCGCACTTCGACCGGCAAACGGGACACCCCTGAGCGAATCACGGCGAAAGGCCAATCGGATCCGTACGGCGCTGGAGAGAATGGTGGGAAATCACGGGATGGTCAAGTCCGTATGATGTTTAACACGCCAACGTGGCATGCGACCGGTGTTATCAATGATATCCCGAATCCAAACAATTCCCAGGATGGCGCTGCGCGATACACGCCGTCGCAGTCCCGGACGGGGTCTATAAACTTGCCAGACTATGCTAGTCGGAATGCAAGCTCGCAGAATCCTGATACTATGAGGGCATTGGAATTGGCCTTGCGAGAGGTCTTGGATAACATTAGAGCTGCAACGTACGTTTTGTCCATTCCCATTTTTTCCTAACCAGAAGGATACTTACGAATATGTTGTACTATAGTTCCAGAATGCGGCCACGCATTTCTCCATTTGATTTTGATATCCAGTCTCAAACGTTTCCATCGCTTTGCTTACAACTGCTTCCGCCTCCCCCGAGCCTTTTCTCCGCGGCTCCATTCCCATCTCCTCCTTTCTTTCCCTTGGAACCGCCGGGAGCTGAGCATCTGGAAATCGTTCGACAAGCTCTTCGGGCCAAGATTGCGCAATGGCAATCAGATCAGCTCTCTACTGATGCTACGAACAATTCTCAGTCCGGAAGGTTCGGTATGGGTATGGATTCTAATATGATTGCTCGAGGTGTCCAGCAGCACGAGGATATGAGCTTGAGGCATCTTGAATTGGCATATAAACATTGGATGTCGCTTCCCCCGGAGGAGAAAGACAGTGTATGGAAACTAGAAATCACCCGCGCATTCGCCCGGGAAATGGAAAAACGGAAATCCGTGGACGAACAGTTAGCGCGTGTTCAGCAGGAGGCAAATCAACTCCGCGCGCAGGTCGAGAGACTCGGTTCCTGTCAATGGCCAAGAGAGTTCGCTCTCTTCCCACCGGATACTCTCCCATTACCGCGCGATGTTGCTCGAGAGCTGGACGCAAAGGAAAGCCATCTCAACCCTCATTCTCCTCGATGGGATTACGAAAACGTCGTGGCCAAGTGGAAACGAGTGGTTATGCATGATCGAAGCATGGGCCGAGTTGGTGTAGGATATTCGAACCCCGTCTTCGAGGATAGCGAGAATTCTCCAGAGCAGTCCAAGCGACGTACGGGCGACGAAACCAACCATAGCCGTTCGAAATCCATGCAGGGTGCCCGCGCCTCAAGTCCTGAAAATCAACAATCTCCTCAACCTGGCGGTCAATCTGCCTCCTCGTCCAGCCAGTATCGCTCGCCTTACCTCGAATCTAGCCGGAGTCCCGTAGCTGGCGGACCACCAGCCAAACGTGCTCGTCTGATGAACGGAAATGGCAATGGAAACGGTCCTGAGGGACCTGCTGCTCCCTCTCCGAATCAAAGTGGCCCTAGCGCTTCTCACTCTTGGAACTCTCACCACCCACCTCAACCTCTTACGGTGTCTAGCCTCGCGACACCCTCTGCCCCAACTCCTTCTCCGTCTAATTCTGGTGCATAGTCTTGGATCTATGGCTTCTTTATAGTATAGTATAGATGGTCGCTATACTGTTTTTCTTGGGGTAGACCTGCTCGCATGATGACAATTGGGTGGATTCAATTTATAAGTACACGAACTTAAAGCTCTGACTCTCTGAACAATGTACACTAAAATAAACGAACAATTCATAACACTTGCTCATTGCTTGACAGTCTTTCTTGTCTTTCGAGCACTCAGCCATTTCTTCAAGTCTTGTATGCCGTGAAGATATAACCAGGATATGATGAACACGACAATGAAGTTGAAAATGATGTATCCGAAGAAGATGCCCTATGCTGTTAGTATTCTTGCCGAAGGATAGGGCATCAAACTCACATAGTCACGCCATTTATGACTATAGAAGACGTTGAAACTTGCAGCCTATCAACCATTAGCACCAAACCACCATACCAAGGGCACCAAAGGCAAACATACAAACTGGTCCCCACTCGCAAACTGACAAAACGCACACAACCCACCCCCAGCATCCCTAACATACCCCCCAGCCTGTTGCACAAACCCCCCCGCATACCCCTCACAACTCTGCCCCGGCGGCACCGTAAACCAACTCTCCTCCCTCTCAACACACCTCACGGGAACCTGATGCACCACAACCCCCAAAAACCCCTCAAGCAGATAATGAAACGGCGTAAGCCAGTACATCCAGCTCTGCCAGAAATGCGGCAGCGCGCGGTAGGGCACGACGACGCCGCAGAAGGCCACGACGAATGTGAAGAAGGCGGGGACGAGGAGCGAGGCGAAGAGTTCGTTGGGAGAGAGCGCGGCGATAAATTGTCCGAAGCCGACGTAGAATAACTCGAATAGCATTAGGAGGAGCCAGGTGAAGCCCGAGCGGAAGGAGGTGCGGGGGAACCAGGTGCCCCAGTACCTGTTTATTTTGGGTTAGGGATGATGTTTTGAGTAAAGGGTAGAGTGGCTTACCAGCAGTTGAAGTAGATGGAGCCTGCTACGATGGAGTAGGGTATTTCGGGGAGGATGGCGCTGGCGACGAATGCGACCCAGGAGTAGATCTTGGAGCTGGATTCGCGGGATTCGTAGAGACCACGGAAGTGAAGGTATCGTGGTTGCAGTTGCTGGATTAATGGGGGTGAGATAGTAAGCGTCATGAAGACAGAAAAGAGTCGTGATTGCATATCGATATAGCTATTTCCCAGATGCCAGAAGGTGAACGTGTTGAAGAGGCCAGTGAAGATGTGAAGCATGAACTTGCCCTATACGAAGTGCTTGTCAGAGGTCGGCTACGCTCTATATGAATCCTGGGATGCTTACCAGTGCATATTCCGGGGTTCGCCAGTATGCAATAAAAGCACGCTTCGTTGTAGCCAGGATCTGAGTCCACAGCGGCATGGCGAACTCTTTTTCGTCATTTTTGTTTCTCTGGTCTGTATTACCAGCACGGGATTCGACGATTTGGTTGATGTCTTTCATGAGTTCCTTGTATTCAGTAGAGTTCTCCCAGACATCAGCCCAGTCTTGTCCGCTGTAATTTGGGTTTCCGGCGCCTATTACTTCGAGCATGTACTGCTAAGGTTAGCATTGCTAATAAGGGTAGATGGAGTAGTACATACCTCTGCCGGATTCGCATTCGGAGGACACTTTTTACCACCATTCTCTTCAAAGTACTTGATAAGTCTCTGTGAATCCTGCCCCACTTCGCCATTATAAACGACCCTGCCTCCTGCCTTCAGCAGAAGTAACTCATCAAACTGGTCGAAAAGAACAGCAGACGGCTGATGAATCGTACAAAGAACCGCCTGTCCAGCATCCGCTAACCGTCTCAAAAAACGAACAATATTAAACGCAGCCAGGGAATCAAGCCCAGACGTAGGCTCGTCCAGGAAGAGCAATAATTCCGGCTTACTCGCCAACTCAACTGCAATTGTGAGTCTTTTGCGCTGTTCCTGGTTTAGTCCGAAACCCATTGACCCAACCGTGGCGCCGGCGATTTGGCGCATTTCCATTAGGTCAATGACTTTCTCGCAGTAGTCGTATTTTTCTTTGACGGGGACGTCTTTGGGTTGGCGGAGGAGGGCTGAGAAGCGGAGGGATTCGCGGACTGTTGCTGTGGGTTCGTGGATGTCCATTTGCTCCGCGAAACCGGTTGCTCTTTGGAAGCTTCTGGGGAGGGGTCTGTGGAGGTTTAGGATTGTTCTTTTTGCTGTGTGCCAGAGATACTCACTTTCCGTCCACCAAGAACGTGCCAGTGACAACGCCAAAGTTAATGCGTTGCGCCAGAGCATTGAGCAGAGTGGTTTTGCTGCAGAAGGTCAGTTTGTTATTGTTGTATGAAATTGAAGTACCAACCCTGAACCAGAAGCCCCCATCAGAGCAGTAAGACGACCAGGCTTGACATAACCCTGAACATTCTGCAATAGCTTCCTTTGCCCGCCCTTATACGGTATTGTATATGTGACATTCTGCCACGTGAAGATTGATGTATTCTCAGCAATCCCCTCAACCTTTTCCATGGAATCTCCTGGCTCATTCTCTCTCGAGTCAGGCCCAGCAGTATCCCGTTCACCAGATTCCTCATCCTCAGGCTTCTTCTTTTCCTTGATTGTATGCTCGATTCCTTTTGGTGCTTCACCCCTCTTGAAGACAGTAACCGCCATCCCACCCTTGTTAGGCTTCTGCCTTTCCATGCCCAGTACAGTCAGAGCGACAAAGAAGATAAACCATCCGATCACAATACCAAAATTCCGCCATAAGTGTGATCGAGTGTATGTGTATGCGCTTCGGATGTAATTCGCGCCATGAACAATTGTGGAATCCGGAGTGCTGCCCT